CCCCTTCCCCAACCTGTTCCATCCCCCTTCCCCAACCTGTTCCATCCCCCTTCCCCAACCTGTTCCATCCCCCTTCCCCAACCTGTTCCATTCCCCTTCCCCAAGCTGTCCCCTCCTGAGCCGCCGCCAGCCCGCACCCCGCAGCCCCGAGCCTTTGGAACATGAATGGCAGCTGCACTGCTGTTTTTAAATAAGCTTTTAACCCCTTTCAACACAGAAATAAACACGAGTTTGAAAACAAACCCCGCTGGGAGCTGTGGGTGCCTCTCTGCCCTGCCAGCCGTCCCACCTCGCTCCTGCTGACCGGCCCCAAAGGGCAGCGCTGCACCTGCACTGCCTCCTTTGCTTTGGGACGGGCAAACAGAAACAGCCAGGGCTCCCGAGCTGCCAGCAAAGGCAGCAGCTGCTGCCAAAGGAAGGATTTGTAAGCGCTACTGGAATAGTCCTGTAGCCGTTTGGAGCAGCTCCCTGCAGGAGAGGGAGCAGTTCTGGGCTGGCCGGTTCTGTTCCCATGCAGGGCACTCCTGGCACAGTCCAGGGGGGAGGCACAATGGTGCCACAGGACTGGGAGTGAGAGCTGAACCAGGAGAATTTACACAAACTCTGGGATTAGTCCAACCCTGAAATCAGTTTCAGGCTTCAGATGGGACTTTACTCTCACGGTTTGCCTCCCTGCTCTAACTCTAAAGACATTTGGAACATTCAGCATTTATTCCTCTTCCTCCTATTCTGCCTTCATCCCTTAATGCATCCTTTTCCCTTAAAAGAGCCTTTACTATCCACTTACCTCCTGGACAGAACAAAGAACAGGGATTGACTTCAGCATGGAAAGGCAGGACAAGCCCTAATGAATGGGACTAGATTGGATCTAGAAAACAGCTCCACATTTCACCGGACTTGTTTCTGGCCAATTCGGTGCTGCCTTCAGAAGAGCAGGGAAGAGGCACATTCCACATGTTTGAGTCATGGCCTCGCTGCTGACACCACGTACCTGCCAGGAAGGGAGACCTTCCCAATCACTGAATCCAGAGCCGCTCCAAACTTCTACAGTGAAAAAAATTCAAAAGTCTGAAACAAAACCGTAACGGCCTCGGCTTCCTCTGCTCTGGGAACAGCGCAGATACAGCTGTCCCTCCTCTGACAGTCACGCAAGGAGCCTCTCGGGACTGGGCCCTTTGAAAAGGGCAGGAAAACTTACACTGGGAGCTTTTTTTTCCCTTCGAGGCTTGCGCAGCATGACTCAGAACAGAAGCTGTTCTTAAAATGGAAAGAAATGCAGCAGCAATTAGTGTTTAGAAATACCAAACTCCTGCAGTCTGCAGTTGAGAATGACGCTGAAGTTTCACTCCAAGGAGTGAATCCCTGGTTCTGAGGTGGCACATCCCGGGCAGGGGGCAGCACAGGAGAGCCGGGAAGGGCCCTGGGGACAGGAGCAAGCACAGAACCCTCCCCCCAGCTCTGCTGCCCCAGCTCAGGCACTCGGCAGCTCCCAGCAGATCCCTTCTCCTCCCTCAGGCCTCCCCCTCCTCAAATCCATTCAGGAATTCCTCTGCAGCCAAAGGCTCGTGGCTGCTCACTGCTTTTGAGCAGTTAAAGTTCTCATTAAATTTGGTTTCTTGCATTTCCTGTGACAAAGGGGTCAACTGGGTACCAGTGACATCACTCCAGGATGAGGACAGAGGGGCTGGGACCTGCTGTTCCACAGCTCAACCAAAGCACGTTTGATTTATCTGAATGGCTTCATTCAACATTCTACAAAGGTCATGTGAGAAGGGTTTGGTGCAAAACACAACTAACTATGGCCAGGGAAGCCCAAAGTTTCAGTTAATTTTATTTTTTTTTATTTTTATTTTTTACAGTGTACATTGTTAAATAATGTAAAGAAAACGCTTGTAATTCAGAAACAGATTTTATGTGGAAAAAGATACTCAAAGTGTAATATTAAACAAAATAATTTAACAGTTCAGTAGCATTAGTTTATTCCTCTAGACTTCAGTTATTCATCCACAGGAGGAGAGGGAGGGAGAAAACAAAAATCAATGGTAAATAAAACCAGTTTTTGCATAACATTAAGTGAAAAAACGGCTTCAAACTCATTAGATCAAATTTAAATAACCATGTGCTGCATCCAGCTGCCCAGTTCCCCTGCCACGACCACTGCCCTCATCTCATTACTGCCTCAGCTCTGTCCCTGCTCAGGAGCCTCCCCTGCATCCATCCCCCTTCAGACAGGGGCGCCCACCTGGCCTCAGCCCCGGCACCGCTGCTCTCCTGTGCCCTGGAGCCTCTCCTCTCCCTCTGGAGCCTCTCCTGTCCCCCTCTGGAGCATCTCCTGTGCCCTGGAGCCTCTCCTGTGCCTCCAGAGCACCTCCTGTGCCTCCGGAGCATCTCCTCTCCCTCTGGAGCCTCTCCTGTCCCCCAGAACCACCCTGGCCTGGAGCTGCTCCTCTCCAGGCTGGGCCTGCCCTGCTGCCACAGCTGCTGCAAAACAAGGGACAGAAGAGAAAGGATCTCGCAGGTTGCTGTGTGGAAATGGAAGCGTGAGAACATCTGCAGGCACAGAAGCTCCCTACGGAGGCCCCAGCAGGGAACAGCGCTCTGAAATTAAAGCCACCGTGGACAAGTGACATCCCTGTGACACACCGGCCTCCAGGACACCGGGAGCTGCTCCCAAGCCCCTGGAAGCTGCACCCTCACCCTCACAGCTTTCTGCAGCACTACAAAAATACTGGCTGGAACTATTTTGACTTTGAAGAGGAAACCAGTATTTCTTAAATACAAAAAGGGAAGAATGACCAAAGCAGAAGATACAGTACAGGTACTAAGAGGTGACAAGTGACAGACAGTGACAGTCCTGGTACCAGCTTGAAATTTGTTAAGAGTGAACAAAATTGTAAATCCTCCAAGTAAGAGAGAGGAAACTTCTCGATGCCGGCTGTTTCAAGTACATCCATTGCCGGCAATGGACGTTGCACCAGGACAGTCTGTTCCTGGCTTAAATGAATTTTACCAAAAGAAAAGGTAAGAAAAGCAATCCCAGCAGACCAGCCCATGCCAACGAGCAATGGCACCTCTCCCTCGAGTCACATCCTGACCAAACATCTTCACCACTTCGCAGGTGGAGTCAAACCGCATCTTAAGTAGGGCCTTTCCCCAAGATACACGTTCTCCCCATCCTCTCTCCGTTTCTGACCCAGCCCTCCTGCCTCCAGAGCCAATATTGGTTCAGTCTCGTTGTAGCTTCACCTGCTCCCCTCTGTCCCAGCCCACCTGGCCCCTGTCACCCCACACCTTCAGCTCTGCCCGCCTGGACAAGTTTCCCCACACCCAGAACTGCTCCGAGCCGCGGCCCCGGTGCCTCCCCTGCCCGCTGCTGCTCCCAGCAGGAGCTGGCCCGGGCGCTGGGCACAAACATCCTGCCCTCAGCTTGCCCTCTGCCCACCTGGGCTCTGCTGGGAAGACGACGCTAAACTGCAGAAGCGAGAGAAGTCCAAGGCACTAAAATATCCAGCAAGCATACTGGGAGAACAGACAAGTATTCAAGTACATTAATTTATACAATTTTACATTCACATTTATTTATCTAATACAATGAAAATACAAAGGAAAAAGTTAAAGTGTCTCCAATAAGTATAAGGATATAGCTAGCTTTTTTTCCCATTTTTTCTTTTTAACTTTTTTAACCCTCTATATTCCACTCATTTTTAAACTACTGTTGTCCAACAACATTTATATATCACAGTGTTTCCACATCAAAACTGATGGTAAGTACATGTCCGCAGGGAACTTTTAAAATTTTTTTTTAACAATTTAACAATGCTCTAATGCTGCAGTCAAAGCTGTTAATATCTTACTTAAAGCAGTAATGACCTATCAAGCACAGGCTGCACCGCAAGTCCATTCGTGTGCCCCATCATGTTTCAGAGCCAGATACGATTGACCGGGGAGAGGGAGAGGAGGGGGATTTGGACAGCTTTTTCCTGATCTTGGTTCCTCTGGAAGAGGCGAGAAGCCTGCTAAAGCCTCATGCTAGGGTTCAGCTCTGCCTCCACACTTGCGTGGATTCAGCCTCCAACCAGAAACATTTTACAGCAAGACCGTATGAACTGAGCCCACGGCCCCTCCCCACACGAGAGCAGCCCCCGGTGAAAAGCACTGTCCCATCACAAGGATGCTCATCACCCTCCTCCCCCTTCCCAGCGTGTGGGGAAACTCCCGCTACAGAGAGTCGACAGCAACGGTTGGAAAAGAGAAATTCATTCCCAGTCTGGCAAGCCACCAGTTCATTGCAGCACTAGTGTGATACAGGGCCCCATCTCCCTCCCCACGTCCTGTCCCCAGGCGTAGCCAGCAGGGCTCCGGGCCCGGCTAAGTGGTCCGCAGGTTGGAGCCTGGAGGGTTGCTGACGGACTTTTGCAAATTGCTGATGTTGAAGCTCTGCAAAGAGGCGGCAGCCACGGGCTGGAACTGGCCGAGCTGCGGCTGCGCCGAGCCCCCCGCGCCGCTCCAGGGCGGGGGGAAGGACGCTGCTGGGTAACCGTACTGCTGCGGGGGACACATGGCCTTGCTGAAGGGACCTAAAGAGGTAGCTGATGCTGCAGGGATGGGCGTAGCACCCAGGGAAGATGTCATAGAGATACAGAGCTGACCCGGTGCTGAGAATTTTCTTGCCATTCCAGGGCCCTGAAAGGCAATCCAACCAGCGACAGAAGTCACGCGAGTGGCTTTACAAAGCACGGACCGCCCCGGGTCCCCCCAGCGGGTATTTACAAGGATGTGCCACGGCCTTTAGTTTTGCCCTTCCCTTGCAGAGCAGGCAGTACATCCTCCACAGTGCTCTGGAGCTGCTGCCCCAGCCGTGCTCTGGCTGTGTTTGGAACCCCAGGGAGACAGGAGGACACCCTCGGCTTCTCTCCACAAGCCCTCCCGAGCCACACTCACCTCGTAGCTGCTGTGCCCTTTGCCAACTTTCTTGCCAGAGAGGTTCATGGCGTCCCGGGCCCAGTTATCCACCAGCTTGTGCAGGTCGTCCGTGAAGGTGCCCTTGCGGCTCGAGGCCATGGCCGTGGGCTGGGGCTGGGGGGCCTGGCTGTTCACTGCAGCCCCCACGGTGTTGGTGCTGCTGGTCCCTAAAACACAAACACAGCCATCAGCACCTGGCTCCACGCTCAGCTGTGCCCAGTGCATTCAGTAACTGTGGAAATGGCACACCAGGAGTTAAAATGCCATGCAGATTAATTCTGACTTTCAATTCCAGGACACACTGAAGTGGGAACTGCAAGGACTCCTACAGGCATTTGCTCAGATTCTGAGTGTTTCACAGAGAGCTTTACTTGGCAAGAAGTGCTGCAAGTGGTCATCCTAAGAGGGGAGTGGTAGCAGCCCACAGGCCTTTGTAGAAGGCGAAGGACGTTAGATTCCAGCACTGAGTGACAGCACAGGCTCTCTCACCTACACCTTTTAATTAGTCAGTTCCACCTGGGAGGACGATGCTGAATAAGGAGCAGTAAAATCAGCACCGCCAGCTGCTCTGTAGCAATTTCTCTCCACTTTGTGAAATGAAGAGAAAAATTCACCCAGTTTAAAAAAAAAAAAAAAAAAAAAAAAAAAAAAAAAAAAAAGCCCCAGTCAGAAACAGCAACTGTTGTTTCCAATAGCTGCCACACTCATGTTCTTGAGGACAACCAGATGGGGCTTGTCTTCATCCACCAAACAGCCACCAGCAGCAGGGAAGGTCTGCACTGCATTAAATTTTGCTTTTTGCCTCTAAAACATATTTTTGACACTATGTTCAGATTTCCTAAGTCAGAAGAAGAAGCATTTGAGATGCAAACTAGTAATACAGCTTCAAGAAGTGAGAGTATTCCTCAGACAAGCTCTGACAAGTTTCTCTTTTCACTGCAAGAACACAAAACCCCTTCACATAAATGCCAGGTTTCAGTTCTGCTAGAAAGCTTGCTGAGCATTATGCTCTGGGGGGAACCAACCTAGAAGCTTTGTTTTGGATAGCCTTCCTATGCCTCATAAACAAGCAACTGCACTCCAGTCTAGGCTTTTAAAAGGCAGACCTCACACCAGGAAGCAAAGAAAGCGTGGATTACCTAGGATCCTAAATTCCCAGCAGTACTGCAAAGTATCCTCATTACAGACTTGGAGATGCCAGTTAACCACTAGGGCAGATCCAACAATCTCACCTATTCCTGAAGTTCCTCAAACATTCCTACTTGCTCCCTCAGGACACTGCACCTGGGAAATCCATGAAAACCTGAGCTTCTGGCAGGCATTTCTGATGGGAAGCCATTTAGAGGTGGGTCACAGAAATGCCAGCAATGAACATCACGTCTCCACTGCCAAGGCCACACGACAGAGTCGCTGGCTCTTGCCTGGCAAGCTCCTTCACCTGTCCCACTTTCCCTGGCCATCAGCCACATTCCACCACCACTGTATCAAAGAAAGAACTGGTTCCAAACCCCTGCAGGAATGTTTCGTACTGAGGAGTGGATTAGGAAGGTGACATACTTACTATGCAGGACAAATAAATAAAGTGTTACTGCCTCGAGTAGTGCTGAGGAGGGGAGGAACGGATCCATCCCACAGCTCCAGCTCAAGCACGGCCGTGGCTCCCGGGCTGGTGCCCACAGGAGCTGTTAGTGGGGGCAGACACATGCCAGAACACACCGAGAGGGAAGAGAGAGGTTCCCTGAGCAGGGAGTGAGGCTGCAGCACCGATGGGGAGGAGCAGGAACACTCTGGGTGGTGCAGGGAAAGTCTGCTGTGATGGAACCAGAACTTAGAGCATGCATCACGTGGAAAGGGCTCTGGAGACAAGCGTTTCGTAAGAGCAATGATGTGAAAGGTGAGGATAAATACAAATGAGGCAAAAGCAAGGAAGAGGTACTTGGGGAGGGGGAACACTGCCAAAACCAGCAATAATCACATTCCACCATGAGGGTTCATGCAGGAATTGACACACTTGCTCTCCTCCTCTTCAGGATGGCCAGCATCCACTTGTGCTATTTCACGTTTCCACTTTAATCACTAAGTACTCTGGATCCTGCACCCACACTGGAGAGCTTCCTCAGGCTAGGGAAGGGGGAGAGCCCATCAAGGCATTAACTACAGCACATTCAGCTGAAGAGATCACTTAGGAAAGTTTAAGAGTTTTCCAAAGAACTAGACTGGTTCAGGGTGACAAAGGCTGCCAGAGCTTTGTCTCCCAAAGTGACTCTGTCAGGGAGCTCCCACCTCGGGTCTCAGCCGTACCAGCCCACAGCATCCGAGCTGAGCTGTCACGTAATATCCATTTGGAACTGACTCCTCAGGAATGTCACATTTAACTCAGACACACTCCCTGCCTGCAGAAACTGCCATCCAGAGGAGGCTGGAAAGCAAGTGCTTCAACTTGTAGCATTCCATGGAAACAACCCCCACATTCCTGCTCGGTCACAGCAGCCGTCCCCAGTTCTGCTCTGACATGAGGGATTCTGAAGTCAAACAGGCTCTCTCTCTCCAGCCCACTACCTATAATGCCTTCATTCTGCCCTTGGAGTTTTTCCCCCCATAAACCACAGTCAGATGACACCTTTAAAACAGTCTTAAATGACATATGCACACACAGGCTTTTCTGAACATCTCTCTCTTTGGGAGACACACTGGACATCTCTGATGGTTTACTCTTTGGCTCTCAGAATGTTGCAGGAGTGTCTGCAATTGGATCCATCACTGAGGTGACAAGCCCCATCAAATCCCAAACCCAGCAGCTGCTCTGGGTACAACTCCAGCACATTACAGTGAGCAACTGGCCCTGATGTCGCTCGCGGTAGCGAGAGCAGAGCTCCACAGGGAAGGGGAGGCTCTGCCTGCCTCCCCCGGCTGCAGGAGCAGCACCAGACTCGTCAATGGACTAAGGACAGAGCACACATTAGAGGGCATCACACAGACAGACAGATGCTGTGCTGGAGACAGAGTCAGGGACGTAAGGCTTCGGTGACCAGGAAAAGCTGATGAATAGATTTACAATCAGGAATCGGAGATAACAGAAATAAGATAATTACTACAGAGCTGGTTGCAAGGACAGACTTTTTTCACCATCTTCCCTGAAGCACAAAGAGAGAGTAATTTGTTAAAGATAAGAGAAACAGTGAGAAATGTTTAGTATCAGGAAACATTACAAAAAGCTCGGTGAGAAACAGAGGACACAGCACAGCAGGGCTTTAACAGTCACTACTGGGACATTCTAGACAAACTCGAGGACTTATCTGACAGTTTCATCACAAAGAGAAGAGGCCCAGCCTCCTACATTTATTCTTCATAATTCCCCAACCATTGTGAAGAATGCCAGGAGACACTGAGGTCACAACTGTTATCACACAGTCACAACTGTGGCTGTTACCACAAAAAGAAAAGCAAGTACCTCTTCCATTTCTGCCAGGATGTAAGGAAGCATTTTACAACTATCAAATTTCAACCAGCAACAGATTTATTGGATAGGTCAAGCGCTTTTTGTTTGTCACCCTCTTTTCTCAGATGTGTGAAAACAGTTCAGACATTCCCTGCCAAGCTGTAGCACTCTGTTTCTCCAGCTGCACAGTTAAAAGCATCAATCACTGCGCTGTTTCCTCAACACCGCCGATTCCAGCCCAGGATCTTCTGCAGCTGCTGCTCTCCAGGGGCAGCAGCACTCCAAGGACAAGGCTCCAGGAGCAAGCAGCCTGCAGCAAGCCACGTGCCAGGCCAAGCTGAGCCATGCCAAGCATTACCTGCTTTCACAGGACAGCTGCAACACACTTTTCAAAAGGAATCTGTTTCAATTAGCAAGAGATTCACATGCCAAAGTACTCCTAGAGCCACATGATGGCAAATTTACAGCAAGCCAAGGCAGCCTTGGAAGTAAATTGTACTCTCATATATTCAGCTCAATGTCAATTCCAAAAACAGACTGTTCTTCATATTCCCCTCCCCCAAAAAAGGGACAGGCCAGACTAACAATTTTAAGTTAGCTTTGGTAAGAATTTAACTTCTTCCAAGAAAGGAACATTAAATCTCGAGAGTGCAGACGTCAGTGCACATCTGCCCATTAATATAAACAGCAAAAACATTTAAAGCTGCTAAATTTGAAGAAGTAAATCATTTTAGCGCTTAATCCCAAATGCAGAGAAGTGGAATAGAGTCAGTGAAGAACTGGGCAGTTTCCCTCCCTCTGCCTGCCCTCCTTTCTCAGAGGATGGGGCTGGGTGCATTGCAGCTGTCCCTGCACAAGGCCACACACAGCTCTGGCTCAGCACAGCAAGACAGATGATGCAGATGTGTGGCACTGCCAGGGAGCACAGGAGGTACAGGAGGGCTCCTGACAGCACTCCAAACCTCCTCAGATCGAGTCATTCCAGAGGGTGGGAAACAAATGGCACACATTTAAAGGGTCCAGCCTGCAGAAGCAGCATGGGAGATGTTGCAGCACTGCCAATAAAAAGCATCACACCAGCAGCCTTGGCTCAAGCATATTGTTATTTCAGCCACATCAGAAGTTTGAGGCTCTCCTGTAAGTCTGGCCTAATGTGAGTGCAAATGAGAGGATTCTGAAAAGAGCTGCAAGCTAGCTTGTGAGGGCTGACAGGATGTCTGAAAATGTCTATTTACCCACCTCTGCTGCTATTTGTTTTACATTTACTGTATCTCCAGAGGAAAACCTAAACCTGAGCCCATTAGTAGGGAAGGTTCTTTTGAGTTTGCCTGGGATTATTTATTCTCTAACCATTTGAAAACCCCTTTAACACTCGGCTCTCTCCAGTTAATGAACAGGAGCTGCCTACAGGTGGCATCGGAGCTCTGCAGTGCCAGCAGCTCTGGTGCCGGGAGCTCGGGGACACTCACACCCACCTGGTGCTGCCAGCACACTGCCAGGGAGGGCAACACCCCCTGCTCCTGCCAGCTGAGGGAAAACCTGCAGCACAAACCCCCTCGCTCTTCAACACAAAGATCCCCCCCTGCAAGCCTCGTGCTGTCTAACATACTCTGAATTCCCAACTAAGGCCCTGCTAAGGCTCCCCAGTTTGTGCCATTCCACTGAGCTGCCCTCAAAGTTTCCTCCCAAGGTTTGGGGAAAACGAGTGCTGGTCACAGCGAGCTCCACAGCTGAGAACACCTAACACGAGAACCCAAACTTCTAAAGGTGTGCTAAGAGCAGCTGAGCCGAGCCATGGCATGGGAGAGGGAATACAAGGTGGCAGATGAGGACGGGCTGCATGAGACAGATCCGAGCAGCAGAAACAAAACCCAAAAAGACAAAACAAAAAACAGACAAGGAAGGAGTAAAGGTGTTACACACAAAGAGCCAAGCAGGGCGTACTCAGAAATCGGGTCCTCCTGCCACCAGGCTTGAAGGTCACTCTCTCAGATGCACAGTTAAACTTCGCACAGCCTGTGAGAAAACAAGAACGGGGAGAACAGAGAAAGGAGAGGAGAAGAGACAGAACACCACTACAAGATGTTAGCAACCTGAAGCTGGAAGGGTGAAATGCAATCACGACACACAAGAAAAAGTCTCCGAGTGCGGACCAAGGAGTACAGAGACGATATACGGAGTGAAGAGACTCCCTCCAGCACCCCCGGACACGGGGCCAAGCCTGCACTGCCACTCTCCAGGACATAACCCAACTATGAAGCTGCAATCTATAGGAAAGCCAAATCCTGGCAAAAGTACCTAATTATTAAATGGTACTGCACAACTCTGGATGCAGGGAGATGATTCAAGTCACTCCAAAATGCCTGAAAGAGTTCCTTTAACAAAAAACTCTTCAGAAAATTCTTCCTTAAAGTCTGTTTCCATTTTCTGTATGTACTTCTCCACACGTTAGAATTTATGTATTCAAACTGTCTATGGCAAAGCTTTTCAAAAAGATGTGCAAGGGGAAAAAACCTAGAACAGCTGAGTCCAGGTGAGTAAAGGACTCATCACCCTGTTGACAAGCAAAAAGCCCTCCTTACTGAATAAATCAGAGCTGTGCCTGAGAAATTATTTGATAACATACTAATAATAAGCAACCCACAACCTGAGAAACCTGAGAACACAAACAATTTACTACTCCCACCATTTCATCCTCCTACACTGACTCTTCCTTCCAGGATAATTCACAATTAAAGAACATGAGCCCTTTTTTACCTTTTACAGTTAAAAACTCCATTGACAGAAACAAACCACTTAGGAAGTCTAGAAGGACTGAGACTCCAAGTCTTTGGAAACTTCCAACCATTTCAGTTTTCTGTTAACATCAAACCTGTCCCTTCCTTGATCTCCCTTCTGATTTCCACCTCCCCAGCCTCATCTGGCTCTTATTCTCTGAGCCAACACCTCTCCCAGGTCAGCAGAACTTTGCTGGTACCACCTCACTGCACTCTCTGTGCTGTCCTTGGCTTTCAGGCCTCCAAACACTTCACACCCCAGTCATCTGCAACAAATTCAGTTGCAAGCAACATCCTCATCAGCCTCCATGCATAAGCTGGGGACCCCAAAGCGACTTTGCACCAGGTATTAAAAATCAGGTGTCACAAAGCCAATCATTCATTTCCAGTGCTAATTACACTAATTGCATCTGGAGTCTTACCTTGGCCCGGCGCCGAGAGGCTCGGTACCGAGAGGGCACCGTCACTGGTGAAGGCAGAGTAGAGATTTTCACTGGAAGGTGAAGGTTTGAGGGGCTGTAACAAATGGTTCTGCCCTGTCTCTGGCACACTGCCAGGAGGATGAAGGGTCTGCTGGGGGGGCAGGACTGATGGTGCACTTTGAGCTGACAGGTTGCCTAGAGGAAAAAGGAAGGCAGAAAGTTTTTGTTTCCATACATTTTTGAACCTGATCAAGCCTGACAGTCCAGGTAAGAGAAGGGGAGGCAGCATGAGAAGAACTGCTCCAGTTTCTGAGAAAGCAGTAAGACCAAAAAATTCCTGAGTTTTAAGACAACTTTGTGCTGGTTTATGTGCTCACAGAGCTCCTCTATCACACAGCAAAGCAGAAGTAAAGCATGGTGACTGGATACAGAAACCTCTGCATGACATGGAATTAAGGAAGTGAACACACAAGAAGCAGTAACAAATATTTCTGCTGGCCCTCCAATACTGTTTGCTCCTGCTATAGGATTAGAGAAACATCTCCAATTACCCAGAGAGTATCTGTCACCCATGTCACTCAATCAGTAAACAGAACTAGCTCCTGAGTCCTGGTCATTAGAAAAATGGTCTCAGTGACAAAGGAAGCCTTGACAATTGAAACTGATTCTCAATTTTTAAGTACAATGAATCTTCGATTCCATTAAAAAAAGACATTATTTTAACCATCCATCAACTGTAAGTTTCTGCAGTGTAAGGACACAAGTAATATCATGCTTAAAGTGGGACTAAATTAGAAAAAAAAAAAAATATCTATGCAGATGACTGAAGAGACCAGACCCCATTCTCCAAAGTCAGTTTCAGGAGGGAACAAACACAGTTTATCTTTGAAAAAAAAAAGTTTTCTGAAATTTTCATACTGAAAATTTACACTTTTCTTCCTAGTCAGAGCCTAATGACCAATATCTAAAAAATACAAATCATAGCTTTAGAACTGCTCTTACAGAACAGTGTCACAGCACCTTTCAGTGGACTGAAGAAGTCCCAAGCAAGCCTACCAAACAGCAAAAGTCATTTCAAAATTGATAAAAGAAATCCAGGGAGGAACTGGTACATGCACACTGTCCTCAACAGAAAAGACAGAGAGACAGACACAGATCTAAGAATGAGAGATGGCACCTGGTCCATTTTATCTGCTAAAAATACTGAAGGCAGCCTTACCTGATAGCTGAGGGCTTTTATGTCCCTGGGAGCTGCTCCGACTGGATTTGCTGCCTTTTCCTTTCGTGGGTCGTCTCCTTCTCCCTGACAGGGGTGCAGCTGGGGGAATAATTACTGCAGGTGGGGCCTTTCCCAGCTTCACATAGAGGGACTCAATCTCCTGCTTCTGGCGGCTCTGCAGCTCCTGGATCTCTTTAAGGTGCCTAACAAGTCACAAAACAGAGGGATTTACAAGAATTCTATCTATACACATACATGCAAACAATTCCTCCCCTCCAGTCAAGCCTGAGCTGCTTCTTTGGTTAGACTCTCCAATATTTAAGAAAGCAGGAAATTTATCTTTTCCACAAAAAACCACATGGCAGGACACTTGCCATTTCCCAGTGTCCTCTAGCCCTGGCTAGGATTCCAAAACTAAGTTCCCAACGTTGCAATCACAAAACCAGAATAAACAGAAGTACAAAAAAAGCATTCAAATGCTACAGGAATAGCTAGATTACTCATTTTCTCAGACATATGGCTTTGGAGACTTCTACACTGGAATTGCCTTACAATTTGTTTCAGAGCACAGGCAGGATTTAAAACTGCCGGCTACCCTAAAAAAAAGGTACTAATTTATTTACACTGAAAAACTTTCAGTGTAAATAAATGAGAAGGTCACATTGCTTCACTTCTAAATTATTTTTCTGAGCCAACAAGGTCTCTTCAGGAAAAGAGCCATTAGAAATGCTAGAAATGCAGAGACTTGTGTGTCATTTTCAAACAAGACTCTGATTTTCCCACTAACTCCAGTGCCATACCAAACCTTCCTTAGACCCACAGTCTCATCCATACTGCAATCCACATACAACAAGGTCACAGGGTAGAAAACTCAGCCCAGCAAACACGTGCATCCCTCTTTTGTTATAACTGTATACTGCATTCCCACTAAGGAACCTCACTTCCCACATCAGTGCTGACCATGGCTCCTGACACTTAGCAAAGGCTAAGGGAAGTACAGGTGACATTCCTGTTAACCCTGTTCCATCTGTTCCATCCACAGCCTCCCAAAGGAAAAGCCTTACTTCTCCCGTAACCGGCGCAGCTCCAACTTCAAGTCTTCATCTTCAATATCCGACTCATTGTCGCTGCTCATGTAGGAAGAGTTGAAGGAATTGCTAAGGCTCTGAACGGGGAGGCTGATCTTCGATCCCAGGTGCTGGACAGAGTCCGGGCTCCCTGAGCCATCATCCAAATCCTTCGCCATCCCGCTCAGAAAGGCGGCCTCCGGATCAGAGGACGGACCATTCATGTGTGGGGACCGCCTCGACTCCAACTCTTTCTTCGGAGCTGCAGCCGAAGAGGCAACTTGTTCCAAGCCCACAGAGAGAGGAAGAGTCATTGGCTCTTTCTGGGCACAGCTGACCTCATCCCGAGCCTTGGACACGGAGAAGCGTCCCACCTGATCCGCCGTCGTGGTCACCTGGAAGCGCCCGACCTGCGTGGCCTGAGCGGCGTCTCCCGGCAGCGGCAGCCCGGGAGCTGCCTCGGGAACACCATCCACCACGGGCAGGGAGCTGGCAGCCACCATGCCATCCACCACATCCATGGAGCTGGCAGCCACCATGCCATCCACCACGGGCAGGGAGCTGGCAGCCACAGCCCCGCTCTTCCGGCTCTCAGCCTGCTTCACCAGCGTGCTCTCCGGGCTGCTGCCAGACAGGCTTGAAGAATCACTGGAGGTGGTTTCAAATTGCACTGGCTTAGCATCAGGTTTGTCGCCCTCTTTTAGCACATCATCCACTGCCACAGATACCTAGAATAGAAACACCATCATGCAGACTTCCTTAGTTTTGCCTTAACACGATGCTTTTATTTCCCTTAATGGTAAGATGCATCTGAGAGGGGAAAATAACTCATTTCCTAGCTATGCCACAAAGCTGCCGCTTCCCTCCAGGCAGAACACTGCCACCCAAAGCAGCACCTCTGGGTCACCTGGAGGATTCACTCCAAGAAACAGCAGCCTCACATGGGGCTTCCTTCACTGAAACATTTTTTGCTGCTTTATGCTGCACTTATTGAAATGGGTTTCTGGGTCTCTTCTGAGCCAAGCTCCTTCGGGACACTCCCTCAAGGGGAGCTCTGTTTACCTCAGTTCTCCGGGTTTGAAGAAAACTCTAAAGCTCGTTAGGATCTTGCTTCTCTTGTTTATTAGGATGTTATCAAAGACTTGGCAGGTCTCTCCAGACTTTCTGCACAAGTTCAATTCATCCTGCCCTTTTGGCTCACTTTGGCTCTGATGGCACAAAATGGCCTGGAACCACGTGGCTGTTTCATCTTTATATCCATTTTTACCCAGTTAACAATAGACAGGTGTATTGTTCTTATATATCAACAAATAAATTTTCTATATCTACTTATGTAACTAAAACTGCAACTAACTTTCAACCAATCACTCTGTGCTTTTATAAACTGCAGAACCATGGAGAAGAAGGAAGAAGGAGAGCTAAGAACCACACCCTTTTTCCTCCACCTTTACTCCATGTATTAAACACTCTAAAATCTCTATTTTTTCACTTCAGTGACATGCTAAACATTATACTAATTTCTACTTATTTTTTTTATAAATCCTGGTTTACCCAGGGATATTTGGAAGCCTTTCTGTCAGTGACAGACAAGATTAATACCTTTTTGGAGAACAGGACAAACAGAGAAATGTTTCTCCGTTTCTGGATTCCTACACTTCACCATCAGGACATAACACAGTGAACATCCCAGCACAAGCCACGATGAAACCCTGTGCTCACAGCTCCAGAGCTGCACAGACTGTGCAGTCTCTGCCCTGGATGCACACAGCACCTGCAGACCTGCTGCCACAAGCTCCACGTGGACAGCCAGGTCCTGCACAAGGGACACGGAGCTGGCACTACCAGGACCCCCCCAGGATGCTGTGCCAGGAGCCAGGTGAGCTGAGCAGCTCCTACCTGAAACCGGCCCATCTTCAGCACGCTGCCTCCTGCTGCAGCAGCCACAGCACTGCTCTCCCCATCACCTGCTGCCAGAAAGGAGGAGAAGGAGAATGCCATTAAGACAACGAGGAGCGGCAAATTATTTTGTTTCTTTATTACTTATATGTACTTCAAATTCAACCATCTGTTAACCCCAAAGAGGCTTCTGGACTCACAGCACCATATTAATATTGTTAATTATTAATGTTAAGTTGAAGCATTTTCCTACAAAGCTTTCCTGCACAGTGCCTTTGCCAAAATTTGCTACACTTTTAGGTAACAGTAAAAAAAGCACACCGATTTTGAACAGGGATGTGAAAAAGACAAATAATAAAGAATAAGAACCGAAATTTATGAAAGAAAAAGCTTATTTTGATTCAATACCCAGAGTGACTACCTAAATTTCACAAACACTGGGGACAATTTAGTCACAGAAAAGGGGCAAGCTGAAGAAATTTTATAAGCAGTATTTACTGAAAGCAGTCTATCTGAAGTTTTCCAAGCTGGACTCTTAGGTGTCAGCTCCTAATTTTGTTTCTCTGTGCACTGGCAGTATAAAGTAACAAAGCTGAGAAACAGCATTCTATTTTTATGTCAGTTCTATTGCACAGCTTGCTCTGTTTATTAAGCAACTACCCAGTTTGTTTACCTTTACCTTCTAAATTTAAAAGACAAAACCCAACTCATTCTATAGCAGACTAATGAATTCTACATTATAATTCACCAATATCCCAAAATGAGAGTAATTCCTTTATTTTCCTTCACGGTTTAATTGGCTTCTGAAGGTTAGTTATTCAACTTCAGAGGCACATGCATGTTAAACAGGGTTTACTAGACAGCTCAAGAAAAAAAATCAGCACTGTATTAACAGCTTCTTTTAAGGACAGAAGATTTCAAAAATTAAAACAATTAGGTGAATACTGACAGGAAAATCTCAGATTACTTTGCAAGTGTTTGGATTGCCCCCCAGTAACTCAACTCATACAGATTTGAAAGTCATTGATCATCCAGACTTTAACTGGTGATCATCCAGTTAACCTCCAGTTGATCTAAAGCAGACGGAAGGAACTCTGGGTTTCTTACTACCTTTCTTTAATTTTCAGTAATTTAACCTTGGTTTCTGTGTTCAAACAGAAGTGAAACCCCTTTAGGCAAGGGAGAGGTGTCCTACATGTAGAACACAGTGTGATGACACAAAGTGAGTCCTGCTGCTGCTGCCAGGGACGTAACACATGTTCCTTCAAGTCCTGATGCTGTACCTTAGCAGCACTGTGGAGACTCTGAGTCTTAATTTAGCATTTTGGACAGCTTTAAATCCTAAAAGAGTCACTACAACACACATGTATCTATCATCCTCCTCCTCCTGGCCACAGGGGAAAATTTCAGTCTGGCTACTCAAAACTAGTAAGATCCCCTCAAGGAGCTGCCACTCTGTGACTTGGTAGAAAAGGCTATAACCTTCCAAGTGGTTACTCTGTTCCATTTTGATTTCTATTTCATGCTGAGAAATCACCTAAAGCAGTGATGGCTGCCTTACCATCCTTCAGACACTGCGTCGCTGCGGACACCGGCCCAGTAACCGTTGTTGATGCTACTGAGGGCACAGACTGCAGGTTCAGGGAGGAAAACAAAAGAAATTAAAATAATTAGCAGTTTCACTGAATACCAACAAATCCGATGTACTGTATATTACATGTTTTTTTTTTTGCTTCCAACGGGGACCAAGTATGACCCATGAGAAGCCAAAAAAAAAGAGATTTTGCAGGCCTTTTTTATAACCCTGAGGCTGTGAGCAAATCACCCCCTTGGCCTGTGTAGAAATAATGCATAAATAGCCACTTGGATAGTCAATCATTTATCTTTGTTCAGTATCCAAACTCTTTTATAGGAGCTTTTAAAATTTCAGATCCACACTTGAAACATCCCTCCCAAATTACGACCTACATATGACATATTGCTTGTTTAGTGCTCCTTCCCTTTATTCCACAGTCACTTCCATTTCTACTTTGGTGACATCACCAGAAAAGCTGGAATAACAACTAATACCAGAAAACAGCCTCAGGAAATTACATAATCTATTGCAATAATACAAACTTTCCCGATTTTGGTTGACTCAGTCCCACAAACTGGAAGATGACTCTGAATTTTTATTTTTACAAGTCTAAATGCTGGTGTAGTGATATTAAAGGCAGTGACCTAAGAGCACAACTTGGACAAAACACTGAGGCTTTTCAAGACTACTGAACTGCCAACATTGCAAACATACACAGGCAGGAGCAGATGTCACTGGGACGGTCTCTGGGCTAAGGGTTCTTCTCAGCTGAGCATCCAGATCTTCCAGTGGCTGTTGGGACTGAGAAAGAAAAGAGTAAAACCATGTCCCAGCTCAGGAAAAAGCAAAGCACTGCTGAGAAACAGACATACTTAATACCAAAATTTAAAGCACTCAGTACAGCTTCCATATTTCTATCAAGCTTCCTTCCTACACATTTAGACTTAACATATATAGCACAGGAAGATTTAAACAAACATGCAACATGTTTGTTTAAAAGCAACAGAACACGAAAATTAACTGGAACTTAAAAAAAAAAGAAAAAGAAAAAACTCTGCAAGGCCACTCAAAACCAATCAAGAGGGGCAGAACCTCTCAAGTACGCTTATGACTTAGATTTCAGTTAGAATACAAGATGTTTTGCTAACACCGTCAGTTGGACTGGGGAGAAGAAGAGAAGGTAATTTTACCTAAAAATATCTTTAAGATTAAAAAAGTACCAGTCTCAAAATGATTAAATTAGGACCATGCTCTTAAGATACATTGAAAGAATGCATTGTCAGATACCATTAAGTCACAATTCTGACCCTACAGAACAGAAATTTTCATCCAATCTTTAGCATTATTAATCTTTACAAGTCTTTTACATTTAAAAAATAGATGTATCTCTTTTTAAAACTGAAGCAGAGATCATGATAACATTAAAATACTACTTTCCACTGGAAGTTAGAGATACACAATAGCATAAAGATGCTTTCAACAGGTTGCCAGGATAACATTCTTCCTGACCTGTGGATTTCAAAGCAACACTAAAACCCCTAGGAACAATAAAGCCTGTATCAATTCCATTATACAAAAAAAAAAGCAGATGTAGACTTCTATGACTCCATTCAGAAATTCAACTGCTTAGAAACTAGTGAGGTAATTTAATCTAACACTGTAAAATAAAGGGGACATATCACCTGAAATACTAAATAATTCTTATCACTTATGTTCACAAGAAGATATTTGCTTCAAGAAAACAAAGAGCTATCAGAATGATCAGGAAATAAAGATTTCCCTGTGGAACAAGGGGACCAGAATGAAGCTTGAGAGATTAATCTAAATACACTTTAAAAAGCAATTAAGGAATAAATAGAACAGGCATTTAAGACTATGGAACAGACTGTTCAAAACTGGTCTCGAGATGACGTGTACTCTGCAAATTACGAGCCTGCTACTAAGGGAAGGGGAAAAGTTGTGTAATCACCTACTGGTGACAGAAGCAGCACAGAAGGCACGCCTGTCTACTTTAAGACAGGCCAGTAATTTTCCAGATACTATTATGTGATAGCAGCAAATGCTCTCAACAGTCAATTAGATTTGATCCTGTTGGTCTGCTCCAATTTTGTCTCACTCCTAGGCAATCCTTCAGAGTTCAAATGAGAAGTGAAATTGGGTAAGTTGCTTGCAAAGGACAAGAAGCAAGGGATCTATATTTGTGACTCTTCCATGCCACAGATGCTGCCAGAAATACCCATGACAAACAGGAAGCAGCCTTTTGCAGTGGTACCATGGCCTGAGTCACAGGAGTGGCTACAACTGCTTTGGAGCTAAGGGGAAAATACTACTAATAAATACACTGAGCTTCCAGCAATGAAAATGAACTCCACATGACTGATTTTTACCCAGCTGTCTCCTGATCCATCTGATACCTGCCCACGGGAAGAATGCAGGTATCACCAAATTGTTGATGGTTCTGGAACATCTCCCTAAGGGAGATTTCACACCCTCTCTGCACATTCTGTTCCAGTGCACGGTCACTGCACAGGAAAGAAGTTCTTCCTCATGTTCAGGTGGAACTTCTGAGCATCAGTGTCTGCCCATTGCCTCTTGTCCTATTGCCTGGCACCTCCATTCACACACAAAATATCCCAGCCAACTGCTGCATCCAAGGACAGAAGCCAAGCAGGGGAAGCCACTGCTGCATGTCAAGTCATGTTTATGATAAGGAGCTTCAAGTACCTTTTCCAAATCTTAAAGCCTAGTGAAATCAGAATGTAGCAATAATCACAAAATAAACAATATGAAACACAAAAAAACCAACAAACAAAAACAAAACAAGAAAACCAGCAAACAACCAAACAAAAAGGCAATCATCAAAAGAAACAACCAAACCCCAAAGCTTCATGATGAATTCACAGAGGCAATTTTACATTTTCATAAACATTTCACAGCAATATATAGTTTTTTGTATTATTTTGCTACCGTATCATTTTCAAGGAAAAAACAGGTTCAAGTTTAATGCACACACCCCGCTGCATTATATTTTTTTTAAAAAAAAAAAAAATATTTCAAGTTCATATTAACACAGTAAAACCCCTAAGCCTGATTAAGCACTGGGTACAGCACCCCAAAGGGAAAGCTGCACAGAAGCACAGAATGGTTTGGGTTGGAAGGGACCTTCAAGATGATCCAGTTCCAAGGCCCTGCCATGGGCAGGGATGCCTTCCCCAGACCAGGTGGCTCCCAGCCAGTGCTGAAGGCACTCAGGCTGCAGCTGCACTTACACAAAAGGGGTTACTCAGTCAAAAGAAAAGAAAACCGAGAACATTAATGACATGCAGTGGAGAGTTTAATTGAAACATGCTCTCTGAAGGGAAAAGAAGCAGATCAAATCTGCCAAGTTGTGTAGCACCTGAGTTAGTGAAGGTCCTGGAAAGGGTGGCAGCTGCTCACTGGATGGAGTGCCAGCCGGAAGGTCAGAACCTATTGGGAGCACCTACGGATAACGAAGAGGAAACGCGCGTCCATCAGACATGGAACAACAGAGGACCAGATACCAAGCTACAGTCAGTCATGTCATACAACAGAAGCATTAACTGGTTCTTCTTCCTAGAGAATTCCTTCCTGGACAGTTAGCATAGAGTCTTTAGGGACTTTTGCAACCAAAGTGGGGGAAGTTTGCTGTGTTTTTATTTTATAATCCAGATTATCCTTGGAAAAATTTCCAGTTTAAACAAGCTGTAGCATCCAGCAACAAAGTATCTTGGGGATATTATTTTCAAGTCTGGAAGAAATGCTAAAATAATTCTCCCAAGAAGCTTAATTTCTAAAATGGTGCAAGAATGCATTCAGTGTCCTTACAACAGATCTATGCTAACTGTCCATTAGAACTGCGAGCTGCATGCTTCCAGCAACTTGTTCCAAGCACCATGACTTGAGAACAGGAACTGTGAGTGCCTGAGGATGTCTCCACTTGTTGAGAAACAGGTTTGTAGAGCTCTCACACCAATCTTTTGATCCATCACTTCTTTTTGAGCCTGAAGGGTGTTGATGACCCACAGAAGGTGATTAGGCCATGCAGCTGGGTAGGGGGAAGTCATCCAGGTTATGTGGAGGAGGTTAGAGAGACTGGAAAGGTTAGAAGGAGGCATCAAAGCCTCCTCACCAGGTCAGACAGCACATTCCAGTTAGTCATTTCCATTGTTAGGGAAGTGGGAAGTTGTAGGAATTAAGCAACCCATTAGACAATTGGCAATTCTTATTCCCAGCTGTCATGTGGAGGTCTGACAGTGCCCACGGAGCCTGAGCACACAGCCTGGCGAGTTCCCGTGCTGGCCAGCAGGCTGGCCCTGCTCTGCAGCACAGGGGGACAGCCCCAGCGTGCTCCAGAACCACTTCTGGCCTGCAGTGTGCTGCCACAGCTTAAACTAATGCTGCCAACTGCAGGAGTGGCTGCCAGTGGAGGTGCACTCTCAGAGTTATCCATCCTCCCAAAACACTTCAGCAGGAGCCAGGCCCAGGTGCATTAGCTCAGCTTCTTTGTGCAGCAGGAACGTGTGAGGACGTTACCTGTTCTGAAGCATGATGAACTTTTAAGCTGTGATAACCTCATCATTTAGTTTATAAATAAGAGGCAAAACATACTTTAAATACATTTGTAAGACAAGCTGAAACACATTTAACTGTCTAGGTTAACAGTCTGGCCATAAACAGAATAAATACACAGAGTCTAGCAAACCCCAGAAGTCTAAAGCAATAAGCTTCTTAATGCTCAGCAACAACACAAAGTGAAGGTAAAATTCAGCTTTGTAAAAAAAACAAACTAATTGAAAAATGGAAACTTCAGAGAGGAGGTAGGATTTCTACAACTGACAATCAAAAACTCTGTAACATTCATTACACTTAAACTCGTGTCTTTGTAATTAAAGGTTTGCAATTAGCAATTTTCTAACTGCTCCAACTGTTCCTGAGCAAATACCAGTTCCCATTTTTTTTCTAATATTTCTTTTCTAATTTTCAATTTCACTGAGATATTAATGGATGCCTTGGTGTCTGGATTTCCTTAAGTTTTTTGGCACGTATTCCCACTGTTCCACAGCAGAGATCTTCTACTGTCTTTGCCTACAAGGAGTACATGGAAAGACAATGAATGGAGACACTGGGGGCACTGGCTCAATCTGAATGGCCTGAAACTGGCTGATAGCAAGGCTGGCTAAGGACAACCAACACAAAGTGTTGATGAGCACAAAAAAACATCACAGAAACAAAAAGAAGTGAGTATTATAATTTTTGATCTGTTAAATACCTGAAAAATTCTTCAATTTATTTCCATTTAAGGGCTACCTTTTCATTTAAGGAAAGGACTACCAAAATAGTTTAAAATACTGAAATATGCTGTGTCCCCAGACAGGCAGACACTTAAGAGAAAATTTCACATATTGATATATCTGGTTGGTGAGCAGGTAACAACATCCACAGCACCTCTCAAGTTCTTACTGTGAGTCATTATTTCTTTGTGAAAGAGTGCTTTGCTTGAACAGCATGAGTGAGTAAACAAAAGAAAAAACAAAACCAAAAACCCAACCAAACAAAAAAAAGTTTGTTTTCAGGTATCTCTTAAATTTCTCAAAATTCTGCTCTCATAAATGTTACATTTGAAGGGAAAACAGCATCCATGTATCAAATTAGTAGCAGAGAACTTCTTTCAAAAAAAAACAAAACCTTTCAGTCAGGTTCACCATTGACTGCAAGGAACAGGTTCATGACAGGAAACAAAACTACGCTACCTCAAATCCACCACTTTGTGAAATATGCAACCAACCATCTCTGTCCAGTGCTCGTGTACAAGATAAAAAGCTATTTAAAGAAAAACATCCAAATTCTATTTGAAAAAAAATCAGTATCAAGAAAAAAACCCAAACAAACACCAAAAGCAAGCCACAGTTGCTTCACCCTTTGTAGTTTAAGAAGAAGAAAAATCAACAGTGACATAAGAGACATCTCTCAGAAGCATAAAACAGAATTGGATTTTTTTTTTTGCACATTAAGGACAAAACAGAACACCTCTTGGGACTCATAAAAACAACCAGAGCACAAACCTTTCAACACTACATTAAATGAAGAAACTTCTTCCTGAATAACTCTTTTGCTTTACAAAAAGCATCCTGCCCAAGAAGGCAGATTCCCACCAGAGCTGTTCTTACCGGTACCCTGCTGAGAGGGGCCTTGGAAGGAGAGGTCCCCGCTTTCACCGCGGCGGTGGCGATGCTGCTCGAGGCCGAGATGTAGCTGGCAGGGGTGATCACCTGCCCAGGAGTGGCAACTGGAGTCAGCACTGGCAAGCCAGTTGGTCCAAGAGGCAAACTGCTCGGAGGTATACAAGTGCTAATGGATGTCAGGGGTTTGCTTGGTGCAACTGCAGTGGTTGGGATGCCAGGAACTACAGTGGTCTCCATCAGCAGCGAGGTCTCCAGGGACACCGACGGGTGCACCGTGCCCACGTTCCCGTGCTCACTGAACAGAGAGCGCAGCTTTTCTTCCAGGGTCTTGATATCATCAATACCAGGGGCTTTAGACTGAGCATCAGCATCTGCCTCCAGACAGTGAACGTGAGGCTGGTTGGGCAATGGAGCTGGTTGAGGCTGGCTGTGGATCAAAGTCTGCTGCACTGCAGGCAAGTTAGTGACTGGCTGTGGCAAGACACCAGGCAAGGGAACCTGGGGCAACATGGGTGTTGCACCTGAAATCTGGGGTAGGACAGGTGTTGATGTAATTCCTGATGGAACAAGCAAGGGATGGATGAGCGGCTGAGAGACTGACCCACATATGCTTGATGCTACGGAGGATGATAAAGGTGCCGAGATTGGCAGAGATAAGCCAGCCGCATTGCAGGGATGAGATTTATCCAGAGAGTGCCCGGTCTCAGGTAGCGACTGTGGAGCGCTTACGACTGTTGTTTCTGCCAGACTGGACACAGAGCCGCTGCTGCTGAGCTGGGGAAGCTGCAAAGCCACGTTCTGAGCCAGAGACAGGGCAACAGACGCCTGTGGTGCTGCCATACTGCTCACAATCTGGGGGGCGGACTGAGACGTCACAGCCGGTGCGGCAGCAGCGAGGGCAGTGGCACCAGGAAGCTGGGCAGGTGGCAGTGCTGAGGACGATGGTGTGCTGATGCTGGGGACAATGTCTGCAGCCACTGCTTGGGCAGGCTGGGACGTGGCAGATAAGGAGAAAGAAGCGGGGGCGCTGACGCTGGAAGCAACGCCGGTCGATTGCTGTGCGGACTGTGAGGCGGGAGGTGGAGAAATAGAGCTTGGCACGCTTGTGCTTGGTGCAGCTCCAACAGCTGCATTTTCTGAAGGCAAAGTAACAGGTCCTGGCAGAGAAACCCCAGTGCTGGAGGAAACAGATACTGAAGAAGTAGCCACGGATGCAGGAGTTGCGGCGCTGCCCGCCATGGTAGAAAGTGCAGGTGGAAACGGTGGTATTGTTTGATTGAACACTGGAGGAGCTGTGCTAGGTCCTTCTGTCATCTGAGCGTGCCCCATCTCAGAGAAAGCTTGCTGCAAGCTCAGTGATGATGCTGAGTGGGAGAGATTCATTCCAGGACCATGTACAGGAGATGCTGCAACTGGAAGAAAATAAATTAATGGGTCCACCTGAAACAGTTCATTACAGTATTATTGTCTATGGCTAGACTAAGACCACATTTACTTCTTAGCATTAAAAAAGCCAAACCAAACCAAAAACCCACACCAAAACAACAAAACACACAAATCTGGGCTTATATTAAAGCAGAGGATTAAGGTTTCAGAGTCCTGCAGACAGATCACCAGCAGTTTTCCTCCAAGAATCCTACATGGTATGACCCAAATTATGGTCACCTCTTACCAGCACAGGCAGTTCCCTACTTCCCCACATACTTTGAGAGGTCTTCAGAACAGTTTAGTTACCTGGCTTCAGAGTTTTGATGAACATGTCCTAGGCATCAGCTTGTAAGAGTTTGGACAACTCACCCATATCTGAAGTTTCGCTTCCTCCAACAACAGCAGATGTGAAAAAGCCCTGTTCTTTCAACCGGCTCTCGGGGACGGGGCTGACAATGAAGCGTCTTCCCGCAGAATGAACAACCTGGGTAAAGGAGCTAGAGGGAACCCCTAAACAGAAAGAAGGTGCATGTTTAGTGACACAGGGTTGTAACTAAATACACAACCTGCAATATGGAATGTGCACTCCATCATACAAAATAAAAACCTGGCTGCACCCATCCGCTGAAACAGAAAAAGGTAACTGTTGAAAAAAAATCACAAAAGACTTACCTATTCTTTGTGGCATGGAAGATGTAGGATCTGGCTGTTTGAACTCTAATTTCTGTAAAGTAAGATAAAATTTAAACTTCTATTCTGAAACAGAAACCCACAAGATAGTTCTTAAAATGCTAACCTACTGAAATGTGGGCATTTAAGGGAAGCAGAACCTGGGACCCAAGCACCATCACCAAACTAGAGGAATTCTGCCCAGATAAATGTCAGCTACAGTGTTTTTAGAGACTCTCAGCTTAGTGAGTGTCAATGTAACAAACTGATCTAAAAATTCTTTTGGAAATCCAACTGATTACTTTAAACATCCTACATATAAATGGATGTTCCAAACTAGTTCTGGGTGTAATTAAGGCAGAGATTCAGGAAATATCACCACTTTCAACACCCAGCAAACAGTTTCAAAACCTGCGTTTCCTAAGCAAGCTATCCAGTCTCTTAGTACTTCACTGGGTGGAGGGCCTGAGACCAGACTCTCAGTGCTTAGTGAGCAGCACAGGGTTGGGGTTTTACTCTCCTACCTCACAATAATCTCAAATCCAAGAAGCATCAGCATTTAAGATTGTCTGTTTAGTGGACTGTTAGGAGATTCAGCGGCTTCGGAAGTCTTCAAATACACCAAAAAGTAAGAGGTCTGTTATTTAGCTTTCTAACTTAATCTTAGGCACTCACTCTGATATGAAGCTTTCTCTTTTTGTCCTTTAATTACTGTCCTTTCCTATCTCTCATGACAGGAAGTTTCTGTTTCTAGCTAGCTCTACTCACACAACCATACCACCCAAAATGGAAGACAGCAACAGCTGAGGCAGTGTGTCCTTCACATACCTGTGACCCCGGGAAGAAGCCGTCATCTTTTGTGCGCATGCTCTCCAAGGCCTGATCCCCCTCTGGCTCCACGCTTGCGTCCTCACTGAGCATTTCATCTGCTTTCTCAATAATCTCTCGTACCTGTTCTACAAATGAGTCTCGCTCTGTTGCTAAAATAAACTCATTCTGCACCTGTAAAAGAACAAAGCAACATTCATTTTCCACAAACAATTTCAAAACAATATACTGAATAACTACAACTTACTCTTGGTGCTAATGTTTGTCTTCCCTTTGCTGCTCTTCTGAACAAGATGGAAGTGATGACACCATAGAGAAAAACAACTGTTTCTCCAATTATTTCCAGCACAGAAGTGTGTGCCCTGGTTTAATCTTTGCTGTGGAACAACATTCAACCTCACTTCTTTATCAGACTGTCACCTCAATCTCTGCTTAGCACAGGGAAATTTAAAATTAGAAGTCTTACCTTACTGCAATTCCTCCTGTCTAATCAATGCAATGTGCATTAAAGGATACATTTAAAGATAACTCTAATATAAAAGAAATTGAAAATTCTGTATTGCAAGATGTCTTCTGTGCTTCTCTCTTTCCATGGCACATACAACTTCTCCTCTATGCAGGTTGCACATCACTGATTTAATGTCTGGTTGTGTTACATGAAAGCCAGTATGAATTATGTTCCCAAATACAGGGAGGGGAAGATGGCTCAGCCTATCTAGTTCCAATACATTGTATTGCTTTACAAAAATAACTTCTCTTGCTTATGTTGGACAAAACTAGTTTAAACAAGTATACTTGGTAGTTAGAAAGGCATTTTTGATTTGGTCTAACCCATGAGAGTATTCTGCCTCCTGAAATTATTCAGGGCAAAACTCGCAGAGACAGTCTATGAAACAGAAGTAGAGCTGTCAGCCACAGAGCCTCTGCTGCAAAAGAGAGAAAGTGCCTTAGAGGTAAAGCTTGAAATTACTGCTTTTACACCAAGCTCCTGGGATGCTGGTTCAAGAAAAGGAAAGTCAGGTGTGATGTGCTTAGATCAGCCTTTGCAATATTTTGCAACAAAGAATTCTTTGCAGAATTCTAGCTAAAGAAATCTTCAGTACTTTCAGTTTGGGACCTACAGGCACCTATATGGGGTATGCCTAACAGTACCATGATTAAAAAGAAACAACAAAGTCTTGCCATCTAAAGTTTGCTCAATATTCAACAAGGAGCCCATGAGCACAATGCTCCAGATTCAGATGTTTAAATTAGTCTGCACACTTTTAACTACATGACTGCATTTTGGATGCAAGCTTCCCGTACTTTGCTTCCACTCATCTTCAAATATTTACAATTTTTGTTGCTTGGAGAGTGTTTGTCTCTTAGTTTTGGTTTTGCTTGTTTAGTTTTCACAAATCAAACATACTCTTTTTCTCTCCATAAGCTCACTTTAGGTTTAAGGTGAAGAAAGCCATCTGTGTACTCGGTATTTCCTGGCACATGACCTCATGTTATTGACTGTGCATATGTTGGCTATGTTCTTAGCCAAGAAACAACTTCTTCCTCTTTCTCAGAAAGCCATTAGTGGCAGAGAATTTCTCCAATATCACTGTTTGGTTCCTTCTGACGAGTACAAACCCAGCACACACCAATTTAGACCCTGCCAGCTCTCTAAGCAAAAGATAAACACTGCGTAGGTGCCCAAGAAGCTGCAAAAGATACTGTGTTTTGTCATTCTCCCCCACTTCAGTAACACTAAAACCATCTCAGGTTCATTTAGACTGTACCAGATCAAAAATAAGAGTCTAAACTAAAAAATAAAAGAAATAGGGGATTCTATTCTATGCTACTCAATAATCTCCTTTAAATGTATCTCTATAGGACAAATTATTTCCTGTGCCTGGCCATCATACATGGAATGGAGAAGCTTTTCCTTCTGATAAAAGTCAAAAGGAGCATCAATCACTAGGTACCTTCAAAAACCAAAATGCAATTCCCCTTTCTTACTTTAATGGAAGAATCCTCCCATTTTAATTGACAACAACGGTGAAATGCTTGAAGAATAAGAATAAGATGATGTAGCAATACCTGCTCTTAGAAAAGCAAACAGAATTTTTTTAACCTGGTACTTCCAGAAGGTTGCTTGTAGTTTTGAAAATGTCAGATTGAAAAAAAACAAAAACAACCAACCAAAAAACCAGAAACAGTTTGATAAAAACTTCAATTCTAAGGTAAAAACCGACACAAATTTTCCTGAGACTTGTACATGCAATATTAATTAATAATCAGACTGCTAAACCACTCTGTGCCAAATTTCTAGTTGTGGTGGTGTACCAATAAGGTGAACACACACCATGCTACATGGGAGACCAATTCTAAACCATAAACAAAAAAATACAAGTGACTGGATTCTCCATCTCTAAAATATATCTTACCATAATTGTAGCTATTTCCTCAGGGTTATCACCATCCAAATCAAATTTGAAAGTAACCATTTTCCGATTGTGTGTCTCTAGCTGGCATTCCACTACCCGATCACCTTTGTTTGAAACCTAAAGCAAAGAAAATAATACTTCAAACCAAAAGCACATGGATCTAAGTTCGCTGAGATCTGAAAGTTCACTGAGACAAACCAACAGTACTGGTGTAAGACAAACATGTTCTATCTTTCCAGGCTAATAAATGGTCTCTGAGGATACACTGAATATTCTGCAGTAGTCTGTGGAACCATTGGTACCTAAGCCCGTTTTTCCGTATCTAATGCTCCAAAAAGCTCTAAATAGATGATACTTGGAATGCTTGTAGAGGCTCAGAAACACATCATTACTACTGAACTGTCCCTGAAATAAAAAATACTCACATTTAGAATTCTCAGTTTCGGCCTAGAAGTCTTCTCATGGCGAGAGCGACTGCGGACAGACCTCCGCATGTGACGTTTCGTGGTCCTCCCTTCGTGCCTTCCACTAGAGGCTGGGACATTCTCGTTGCCATCACTCAATCCTGAAGCAACATCAGAATGTGCACTAGAAACAAAAGGCAACTTCCTGTTGATATCCATGTATATGCATAACTGCAACAATACTCTTTAACCTACCCCATGATCTTCTGTTCTGGGAAGCGGTAGATGGGTGTTAATCATCGAGTTGTCAACACTTCAGGTTGCTTAAATAAAAATTCTAACTAATTATTTTGCTATACCTCTTGCAAGCTGTGTTGTGCAAATCTATCATTGGAGTTTGAATTCTGCTCAAGTGCCAGAAGACAAAAAAACTGTCACTTATGATCTATTTGACATGACAATTTAAAAACGTTCATCACTATACACAACCTTACTTACTCCCTCCATAAATCACAACCTACTCCACCCTTCATGACTCTGTTTTTCCTCTAGGAACTTTAGTTACTCATATCCTCAAGAACATTCCCAGTGAAAAAAAATATATCCCTGGTGAAAAAGTGCATCTAAAGATTATCCACAGAATTATTAGATGACATTGGAACTCAGTTTGGTGAAAAGAAGCAATGCTCACCTATCCATGGAAGAAGCCAAAGGGGTGGACTGAGCAGGCTGTGTTGCTGGCAGAGTCTCTGAAGAAGCAGTCTGTGAGACTCCCTGAGTACCCTATGGATAGAAACCTACAATCAAAACCCCCCCCAAAGAGTACAGTTCCTCTTCAAGCAACCCAACAGTCCTCAGGGTTTCCTCCCAAAGCAGTTGTAAAGCTGAAAGCACTGCCTTTTTAGAAGTTTAAACAGCTGGCTTCTAGGACAGCTTTAGCTTCCAAAGTACTCTAGAGCAAACTGCAGTGAAGCAAAATGTCATCCAAGGAGGGGTGAGGAGAGGAAACCAGCCGCACGTCCTTTCTACTGCCACGTGTCACTACAGCTGGCCATGCAGACAGTCTTACCAACAGAATGTGCAAGAGGCAAGCCAATGCAGAACACAAAGACAACTCCAATTCTCCCTGCAAGAACCACGCTGCAGGGAATAGGCATAAGGACAGATTCCCAAAGGCTACTGACTGCAGCTTGTCTCTGATATGGCAAAAATGTTCTACAGTACTAGCAAGAAGTGAAGTGTTTTACTGCTTTTTGCCTGCAGGATGCACACTCACTTCCCAACAGAACAACCAGTGGCAACAAGGTCCCCACATTGGCATGACATTCTGCTGTAAGAAAAAGGTAATTTGAAATATTAACTTCCAGCTGAAGACAAGCACAGGAGGGGTTAGTTCCCCACAGAGATACACCGTTGCACGAGTCCAACATCCAAAATCTATTGTTACATTGCACTCCATGTATTTACCTCCACCACTGCCGGCTGGGAGGAGGCAGATGAGGCCTGTTGGGCCAAACTCCCGGGAGGCTGGGGCACCTGGACCTGCCCTCCCAGGCTGCCCATGGAAACTAGAACGTTCTGCTCCCCATAGGGCTGCCCAACAGGAGCAAGGTAGCCTGGCTGGGCCATGGCCTCTGCGGGCAGGGGAGGGGACAGCACAGCAGCAGGAATGCTGGCGGCGGCCGCAGCCGAGGACGGCACGGCGTTCGAGTCCCCCGCGTACTGCGGTGTCGGCCGAGATGGGAAGCCCTGGAACAGAAACGAGGGAATCAAGTCAGTGAATGGCAGAGATAACTGGGAAACCAGACAGTAATAAAAAATGGATCGGTTCCAAGGGCACGTTCCAACCTTCTGTATTTGTTCAAGCACTCCCAAAATCCTCCCAAAGAAGTGGAGCACACTGCTCATGCAGCCAGCATGCAAGTCACCATGCCCCAACAAGCAAATCCCCACTCACAGTCCCAAGTCTTAGGCAAAACAATTTTCATCTCCCAACTCTTGCAGCTGCCTACATAGCTTAAGATTTTAAAGCCTGAGATTAGAAATGAGCTTGAAGAATTCTCAGGCCGAACAACTATGGCTCAGATGTTACACAACTGCTGCTGATTCTTGAGATTAAATAGCAAAAACACTCTGGTGTTCTTCCTGTCCTCTCGTAATGAGCTGACCCAGAAAGAAGGAACACTTTTATCATTAATCAGGTTGCCACTTCTACAGTGAGTGATCACACAGTCACTGGAGCAGTCCATGCCCACCGGTCCAGCAGTTCACTACCAGCATCAGGTACTTACGTCACATCCAAGATCCATACTGCCTGACTGATTTCTATGAATTCCCTGTCCACCCCCTCCCAGACTCTCAATGAAATTCTGACATTGTTGAATATGCCACCACTGATTTTTTTTTTTTCCAACACACATCTCCTATTTTTAAAGTTACAATTTCTTATGTTCTTTTTCCCCAAGCTGACAGATCTCGTGAATATATGGCTGTTCCCTCTCACACAGTGGTTGAACAAAGCCCTGCACTACGATTCTGTCATTTTACACCAATTCCAGTGCCAAGTACGAAAAATCCAAAACACATGGGTGTCCAAGGACTTTTTTTCTTCTCTCCTCCTTAAAAAGGTTCTTTGTGGCACAACAGAATTTATCCTCGTGGCTCAATGGCTCTCATATGAGAAGTGAGCTGGCCAGGGCACGCGGCTCAGGTCTGGTACCTTAGAGGAACGGGCAAAAATGTGGAGAAGAGGTCTGCTGGCTTGCAACTATACCTGGTAAAGAGCATCTGCAGCAGGAAGTGAGGCTTCAGCAGCTTGTCCAATGCTGACTGGCAATCCCACGGCCTGGCCAGGCGGCTGCAGGAGAACCTGGCTGGGCAGCTGAGCCACAGGCTGCATCAGGCTGGGCAGCTGGCTAGGGACAGCGCTCGCTCCCACAGGAACAGCGGCTGCGGACGTGGGCAGCGGGAGCAGCGGCTGACTGATGCCAGCTGCCATGGAAATGGGCAGCGACTGGAAACCTGGCTGAGCCACTGTCACGTGAGGAGCTGCTACAGGCAACTGAGACACGGGGAACTGGGGAACCACGGAAGCTGGCAAGGCCTGTCCCACGGGCAGAAAATGAGAGCCAATGGGGACTGATGGGGCAACTGAAGGCTGAGGGAGAGAAGATGCTGCAACAGGTAATTGAGGCTCGCCTTGGATGATCGACACTGGTTGGGAAACAGGAAGCTGGGGAGGTAAAGAAAATAGAGATAGATATTTTTTTTTTTAAAGCAGGGTTGCGGAAAGCAGAGTTTTACACATTAGTCAAAGAAAGCATTATTCAAGTTACAGCACTCTGTTAAAGTGGCTGGGGAGCACAGTTGGCAGAGTGGCTGGGAAGCTGGCTGGAGTTCCAAACAGTCCTCACTTTGCAACACTTCCCTTGATGAACTCAACGAGCTCTTGAAACAGACACCCCCAGAGGGTGAAAGAGCAGCATCTGAATGCCCTGAAGCGCCCATTTGTGCACAAACAGAATCAAATTCCCCTCAACTCCGTCCCCAGACCAAAGCCTGCCTTCTTACAGCAAACAAGTGCAAACAAATCTGCCAGCTTTGAGTATGGGGGCTAAAGCAAAGGAGAATCAAATCCACTATGCCAGCATTCAGAGAATGGCAGGGAATAATGTCAATTAAAGCCAGCAAACGATGCAACTGGAAAGGCGGTTTAGATGAACAAGCAACAAAACAATAATTTTAAAAACAAAATTGCGGCTCACATATTCAACAGAGATACGAGCCAAAATGAAGCAATATTCAGTAACAGAAGCTTCTTGATCAGGAAGTAAAGGAGAAGAGCTGGGTCAGAAAGATGACAGAATGAAGAAAGGAGTCCTATAGTTCACTGCCTAAATAAGTGAATATGTTTTACACGTGTAATGGTGCAGAGGATAGACAGTGGATGGGAAACAGAGAAATGACAAGTTCCTGAAAATCTGTTCACAATACACCATTTATCAATATGCCTCCTGATATTTTTGACAATTTAAAGAACTTTGTGCATGGAAGTGCTCTCTTTCCCTCAAATTACTCACGACTGCCACATGTAAAAGGGTTCCCAACACATTTTTTCAACAAAATTGACAGTTATAGTACAATAAGAATACTCTTGTTTGGATGAATGTTTTGAAACCATTAGGAAAGATGACTGTGAAAAGTGAAAGCAGCAGCATATTGAATCTACCAGCTGTGAAGAAGAAGGAAAAAAAATCTTCTGCTAGAAAGAATTTTGTTTACCTGTGACCCAGCTGCTGCCTGAGGCATTGGCATGATCTGTGAAGTCTGAGTTTGAGAGACAGTTTGTGCAGGAGTGGAGCTGGCAGAAACTGAGGGCTGCTGCAGCTGGTACTGTCCAGGCTGTTGGGAAGAGGCTGGCTGCTGTGCACTCTGTAGCAGGAAAAAGAGCAAGAAGCTGTATTAACCCCCCAACAGAAGTTTTTAAAAGCATATCCTACTTAAATTCTGCTTTTTACTCTCTCCTAAGTGATATCAGTGGTTCTTCAGAATATGCCAAGTCAGTTAAGCTTTAGCAATTACTTATTAGCATTACTAATACAATTCCATTATTGACACCAAATCTTGCTAGAGATTTCTTTCACCTGTGAAACCAAGAATGAAGATTCTATAAAGGAAGACAAGGCAGTTAAGAGAAGAGAACATGGCAGATCAGATTTCCAGTTGGAGGAAACAGTGAGAATAAAGTCTGCCTGTCCAGACAGTCTAATTTGCAAATCCTGACTTGTCTCCCCTAGAACAGGACCACCACTGCAAGCTCAGGTGGATGCTGGGGAAGACAGGCATGGGAAAACAAGCATTAACATGATTTTTAAAATAAATCTCAAAGTCAAAAGTGTATCTCATAGCATGTTAGACTGTGTGGGAACCAGGATTCCTTTGCTGCAGAACTATGGGTCAAATGGTGACAGAGGTAGTAAGTTGCTCTTAAAAGTCACCAAAATTCTATACTATGAGGACTTTAGTCCTGAGCTTAGGAACTGTGACCTTACCTGAGTGTGTTGAGTAGGCTGGGATGGCACTGATGCATTGCTTGAGGTTGGCTGGCCTTGCACCTGTGTCTGGGGGGACAAAAAAGGGGAATCAGCTGAGAAATTTTTCTATGATTTCTGCTGCAGGCAGTTAAAATCATTTCTGCCTGGAATGATCTGGTTGGAATAGGTTTCTAGCTTGTCCTTTTGGACAAGCAGTCCTTCTGGCCAAATTCCATTATGACAACCAGAACAAAGCAGAGCGATCTGGAGGAGTTCTGAACGTCATTTTCAGTCTTCCAAAATAACCAATACAGAAAGGTCTGCAACCCACACACCCCTCAACATGAGACAGATCAGCCTACCAGCTTCTTCTTCCACTGGTGATGCTTTAAGAGCAGGATGCCTTGGTAGGGTAACTGGAAATAGATGCATTAAGTTTTACCTTTACATGTGTTCTGAACACAGCCAGCTGGGGCAATAAAAGGAGGCCACATGGAAATAAAACTATCCATAAAAAACCAAGCACGAAGATATACAGAATTCTAGACCAATTACAAAGTACCCAGTACACATAAATGTCATGAGTTTCCTTTGAGAGGCATGTCAAAACACAGGCTAATAATCATTTCCAGAGTCACTACCATTCAAAGGCTACCAGGACTTGGATATGGAGGAGTAAGAGGGTTCACATTCCAGCTAAGACAGAATTTTCGAGTAAGCAACGAAAAAAATGGATGAGTGGCATACAAATGAACGTGGAAGATGCAGAGGAAAATGGAATGGACTTTCATTATTATTTTTGTGGCTAAAATTTTTTTGATCAGATCCCAGGATCTGCATTATTGTTTTTGTGACAACTGTATTTCTTTATCAGCTCCTGGGGGAGAACTAGACAAAGACCTCCAGATGAGTTCCCTGAGCATGCACCACTTGGGTGAACTGCCTCTGTAAGAAGCATGTCTGGTGCCTATGCATCATATCAGGAATATCTAAGAAAATTCCTTAATGCTGTGATCATTCAGCTTCCAGAAGTTCATTAGGAACAAGTCTGTTAAAATTCCATACTTTCCCAATTATGGAAACTTTGGGGAAAGCAGACTGCCAATGAAGAGAACCATTTTTTTCTTTGCTGTTTTAGAAGCTTCAGGCCTTTACTGGCAAGGATCTAAACATGTGCTAAGTCCCACTGCTGTAACATCTGTTCACATTGACTCAGTTTGGGTTTCAAATTCTAATCTTCTAACGAATTAGGTATAAGATCCCAGAACTTATATTCTGCAAAAGAAGTGACCTCTTTTTTTTTTGTTTTCCAGATGTATTTTATATCCATCAGAATTCACCTCCAGAGTTTAACAATGGCTCATGGAGAAAAAAAAAATCTCCATGTAGTTTTCAAAGTTCTTGAGTAGGAGATTCATTCTACAAATTCTACTGCACAGCAATTTCTACCTATTAGACTGGTGATGAAAGCTGTTCCAGCTTTACTACAACACCTTTAATATCCCTTACAGAAAGCCTTACATACTTAGCTCTTGATCTTAACACAGAGAGCAGAATTATTCTCCTTCACACAAATCCCAAAGTTGCTAATACTACAGCAACTAAAATGTCAAAGCCCCTAGCTCCAAGGACAAAAAAGGTAAGAGAGAAATCTACTTAAAGTAAATCCTCTCTTTTCACAGAAGGTTATGAGAAATCAGACTAGGAGTGCAGACACAATGTATATAGACACACACCTCACAGTGCACAGAAAAGTGACCATTGCAAATGCAAATAGCACATATGCTGATAAAACACACATCTCCAAACTAAGCTTCAGGCCTCAAATTTTGCTATTTAAAAGGACACCACATAAGGCTTATAGGGGGGCAATACCAATTAGCAATACCAGTTGCTTGTGCCATTAATTAACTACCCAGCCTTTTTAGCTTCTTCAACAAATACATTTCCAAACCCACGTACACATACATAACACAGCTCCTTCCATTCCTCTCTTCCCACTTCCTTTCCCCAAGTCTAGAAAAAGCTCTGCATTTTGGATAGTCACCAAAATAACCTTGTTGTCTAATGAAACATTATTTGTATGAAAGTTCAACCTCAAATAACACATTAAAATGGCTAAAGAGCAGCAACAGAAACGCAAAGCAAGTTGTACTACCGCTGCTGATTCTAACTGTGCAGAAGATACATTTCATTAAAACCACTGTTTAAAAGCCAATTTGGTACTCCAGCCATCTCTCACCAAAAGAACAGCTAGACCCAGGAAGAACACTGACCGTTTTTTACTTTTAACAAAAAAGCCCTGCCAATATTTCAGCCAAATCTGAACGCAGACCAAATGGTTGCTAATGCCTCATTATTCCACAGCAACCTGGGTAAGTTAAAGAGATCCTACTACAGACTTGGTGCAAAGACACCCCCACGAATGCTAATTCTTAGAACCACGAGGAGCAGGTCTAAAAGCAAGGTTTCCCTTTCAGTATGACTTATAAAAAGCAGTGAAATTGTGGAAGGGTTTGCTCCTGTAACCTGAGGATAGGATGCAGGTGGTCCTGATGAAAGCGAGGTGGACAAGGCCTGCTGAGTTGAGGCGCCCTGGGGGAAGCAGATGAAGAGCTGCGACTCTTGCAACACCTTCTGAGGCAGCTGAACAATGGGCAATGAGAAGTCTGAACCAAAAGCAGAAGATGATCCCCCTGTAGGGGGAGGAGACTGGAAATCACCAGTGTCAGAGGAAGTCAGCTGTGAGGAATCACTGGAGTACTCTGGGCTTCCTTCTGGCCAGCTGCGCCTGGCAGAGCCCGCTCTGGGAGCCGCTAGGCCAGCACCAAGATAGCTGCAGTGCTCCTCTGTCACGGGCTGGAGCCGACCGTGCGAGCCTATGCCTTGGGCGGACTCCTCTTGGCTGCTCTCCATAGAGCCCCGGCGACTTCTGTAGGCCCGCGGGGGCAAAGCCCCTTCAGCCGCGGCAGGGCCGGCAGCGTGCACATGGAACTCAAAGACACAGCTCGCCCTGCCGTCAGCACTGTGAGAGAGCACGGCCGGGGCCGAGTGCGGAACAAATACCTGCTGCAACGTCATCTGGGCTGGCTCTGCGCTCAGGGGAGCCGAAACACTGCATAATGGAGAAAGGGGACCCATGCCAGAATCCAGCCTCAGGTTCTGAATGTGTCTTGCCAGGAATGTTTGCCCCGATTGGAAGTCGAACACAGAGCTTTGTGGAGGACCACCTCGCCCATGGTTTGACTCAGAGACCTGCTTCAAATGCTGTTCGGCCGCGTGAGAGTTATGAGCTACTTGATCAAACTGCTCCGATACCTGTGATGGATAGTGCATGCCCACCAAATACACAGCTTCCGGATGCATCCTGTAGTGAGCATCCTCTGGAGGTGTTGGTCCAGATCTATAGTCACTGTGGACGGGAGCTTGCTCAAACACGGGATTTACTTGCACATGCAGAGGCTCTCCAGCGACTCTCTGAGCTGCTGTGCCCAGCATAACAAATGCCTCTGGAGTCCAATTGGTGGGACTACCCCCAGGTGGAACTAAACTCTGGCCAGTCTTCAGCAATGGCTGGAAGTGGCAAGTTTGGGCTTCCAAAAATGAAGTGCTCTTGCGCCGCTGAGCAATTGCCACCTTCGGCGGGCAGACAGGTGGTGGTGAGAAAGACACCGGCCGTTCATGAACGGTTGGGAAAAATATCTGTGAATCTGGGAACGGTGGTGTTCCCCCACGAGGATGCTGAGGCTGTATTGACATGAACAAGACAGGTAATTCATACATTAAAAGTGAAAGCACATCAACATGCACAGTTCACTAGGCAGTTCTGTGAAGTAACTTTATAGAATTCATACTCAATTCATGGTCAAAAACATACAGTACTTAGGAAATTTAGGTGAGTTGTAAATATCCATTAAATACATCCATGGCAGGCATAGCTACAATTGGGAACATTTGCTGGTGTTAGAGCTGCTTTTCCAGTTCAATTCCAACAGTTCACAATAAGAAATCAATTTTGCTCCTGACAATGGAACGAGACTTGTTGTCACTGCCTATCCATTGTGATCAGTGCTTGAAATCCAATCAAACCCCTGAGGTCACTGCCGTATGTGGAATACGAAATTCAGAACGTGAGAGCAGCAACAGTGCAGAGCCTCTGATTTGCAATTAAAAGATGACATTAGATGTTAGTATTTTCAAATACAAAAACCACTGTGCTACTGTCCTGTATGCTATCCAAAAAGCTAAAAGGAAATATTTTATAAGACAAAATTGACTGTTTAATCACTTATGAGCGTACCTTTTCATATAGAAAATTAGCACTCATTGAAACAAACTTAACTCTTGCCTGGACAATAAAACATTCACAGGTTCAGTAACAGCAGAGTCCTCAGGCAATTCCACTCCATCTGAGGTACTACCTCAGAGGAGGCTCATCTCATATAAGACTTGTAGGAAATATTTCACTACAGAGCTCCATGTAGGAGTATCAAACAATTTAGTAATTTTGCATCATTTCATCTCTGCCTGCAGTATGCCCAGAGACAATGTACTCTCTTCCCTAAAGGAAAAAAAAACTTGCAAGGAGTCAGTAGTAAATACACTGCCCAAGACAAATGGCATTTATGACTTTTTCAAGTTGCAGTTTCCACATTGTTTACTTTCTCCCCAGCCTCTTTTGTCCGGAAAAGCAGCAGCAAATTTCCATGCTGACCAACACTAATGAGAAGGTCTGACAGATGAAGTACCTCTCCTATGTTCTAACCCTGCTTCCACTTACTTCATTTACACAAAAATGCTTCTCAAAACTTATTTTGTGTAAACTGAAGCTCAAAATTGAAAAGCAACTACCTCTTCTACTGCAAGTTATCTTTGCATCTGACTTTCTAAGAAACATGAAACTACTGCTTCTTCCCATTAAGAAGCAGTTGAAGTGGCATTTCTGATCAAAATTTACAGAAAAAGCCCCAAAGGTGTTCATACTCTAAATATCTAATATCAGTATCACAGCTAGTCAAAGCTTTAAGAATAAGCAGCCACAGCAATCAGGCTTTAAAAGCTGGTTGTTCTGTGCAGGGCTTAATTAACATTCAATGTTTACTTAGAAGTTGAAAATGAAAGGTCTTCTGACTTTGGGTAATAAGAACTAGTCTTCCCTTTGCCTTCTGTGGTACAACTGGGTAATTTACATTTATACTATTCTAAAAGACATGAAACAAGCAGTCAGCCACTTTTTGATAACGTACTGCTTCATAGAAATAAATAACAAAATCAACATTCCAGCAGCACAGTATAAGGAATTAACTCTTCAGTTTCTCCCTTTAGAAATGCCCAGAGCCCAGGATGTATTTAATGATAACTTATCTTACTGTGCCAGGAGGCAAATGGCAACACATACAGGACTGACAGAGAGGGAGGGCAGGCTGGAGCGTCGATGCTTGCGTGGAGAGGCAGAGTGCATGGGCAGGACACTTTCCAGGGCTTTAGAAAGCTTTTCTGCAAAGGTTTCTTCAGGGACAGTCCGAAGGTAGAAAGGAGAGAGAGGTGCAGACAGCGCTGGTGGTGGGGTGCAAGGAGCACTGAGAGGGATGCAGGACATACAGGGAAGAGCAGGAAGGTGGGGGACACAAACTGACATGCTACGACCACGTTGAGGCTAAAGGAGGAAAACAAAAGTTTAGAATCGAACACTTCAAAAAAAAAAACAAAACAAAAAACGTAATAACAAAACCAGCAAAAACTATAATGAGGTAGAAAAGAAATGAAGACACACAATGGAAGGCCCAGTATTGACTAATATGTGGTACCATGAGATATGAGAATGCTGAATGGATGCCAGGACACACTGGGAACAGGCTGTGTACACCTCTGAGAAGCCCAGCTGGCCTGAGCTTACTGAGCAGTGCAGAGAGCTCCCTCCTACCCTCGTGAGAAACACGTGCAAGGCAGCTCTGAACGTTCTCTCTGGGGCCACAGACACAGCCCATGCTGAGTGTACTCAAAGCATCTGACAAATAAAATCCTAGATACTAATGAGCTTTCAAACATTAGTTTGTTTTTAGAGTGAATGTGTGTTTACAGGCATCACCCAGTTCCTCTGCTGGGCAGCCCCTCTGCCTGAATTGAGAGCTAAATATGTGCAGCTGGCTCTTTATTAATTGAAACATTACCAGAAAAATTTCAACCTTACACATGAGTTGTGGAAAAATCTCCATTTAATCTGTAGAAAATTCTGTAAAATTAGTCTTAGACAAGCATCATCCAGATGCTGGGCCAAGAAAAACATCCGGATTTTGTAATCTTGCTACAATCCAGAATGCTACAGGTCAAAATCCAATCAAATCACAAGGAACAGAATAAAGTTTTGAGGTGGGATTTGCATTTTTTTTTTGTTTGGGGGGTTTCATTATTGCTTTTTTTTTGGTGTTGTATTGTGCTTTGCTGTGGGTTTTTTAAGTGAAGGGAAACGTGATGTTTTTAAAGAGGCAGCATATACTTCTTATGGAGGTAATCCACAATATCTTGAACTAATTAAAATCAAATACAGACCTCCAGAGAGAAAACAGTAAGCTATTCAGTGGAGATCTGACTTCCAAGATTTCTGTTGTGAGAAATCTTGCTAAATTGATTAAAATTTTGGGAGAGAGGTAGAACTCAAATGGTTAACTATATACATCTTCATCTATTCCAAGGCAGGCGTAGTTATACATCATTCCTGACTCTAATCTAATCTAAATAGTTCAGAAATATCTCCACTGATGGAGACTATGATACTTATCTTTGTTAAGTATTAAAAAAACCCTTCCCAAACAATCATTCCATGCTGTAATTTAGGCTTATTATTCCTTATTCTATCTAACAACAATGTTGTGATCTGATTATCCTCCCCTTATTTCATAGCAGCCTTTTACAGCTTTCTCTCTCCTCAAGCTTAGCTTGTATAGACTCAATTATTTCAGTCTTCCCACAAAAACCACATTTTTGGTATTTTTCCTGGGGTTTTTTAACACTCTCCTGTGGATTTTCTCCCAAGCCACCCTCCAATTCACTCAACCAAGGTGTCCAGGATAGACTTACCAATAGCCAAGAGCAGAACTACTGTTTCATATAATGGGATGTTTGCCTTTTTCATGACAGCATGATGTTTTTGACCATGTCCAGCTTGTGGTCCAATGTAATCCCTGACTTTTTTTTAAATTTATTTTGCAAAATGGCTGCCTAGCCAGTGGTTACTCATTATGTCCTTGTGTAGCTGATTCTTCCAGTTTAAGCACCAACCTTGTTCTTGTCCTGATCAAAGTGCATTCTGTGATTCTTTTTAAGGCCATTCCTTCAGTTGTCAGTGTAATTTCTTCCCAACACAGGGTTAGTAGTCCCTGTAGTGTGTCAGCCTCCAGGTGCCACTGCTGGCATACAGCATGAGCACGTGTTTGCAGCAAACCTAGCAGCTTAGCTCTGCACCTCTAGCAGATGCTGCTTCTCCTCCTCCTCCCAAAAGAGTCAGGGCTTTCAACCTGGAAGCCAGCCACCCCAAGAGAGTGACATGGTTTCTGGTCCACTGTGTGCCCACACACCAAAATATGGCTTACCCAGAAGAGCAGCTTGTTTAGAGGGATTAAAGAACTCATCATCAAGGACTAACAGTACCACACACCTCGGGTTAAGTGTCTTTGGAAAAGATGGAGATGCTTTGATTGTGAGTGATAGCAGCCTGTTTGCCAAAATCCTAGTTACACCAGTGATTCTGTAATAAAGCCTACAACCACAGGTACCAGAAGAAGTGAGGACCCTCAATCTTAAGTGTCACATCTTCTCCTTTATGGTATTACTACGTTATACCATAGTGTCTGCCTCAATCTTGGATTGTTATTGGTGTAAAAAAACAAGCAACAAGGCAACCACTGAAGACAATATAAAAGTAGCAGAAGTTCTACTCCAGAGTAAGAATAGACTTCTGCGTACTCTCTCACTCAGATCTAAAACATACCAAGGGAAAAACATACCAAAATAAAAGGGCAACACAAATGAACATAGTAGGAAAAGTATTTGTGCCCAGTGCAGACTTTCCAGGGAAAAGGAATACGCATGATGAGCAAATCAACACAAGCTAGAAATAAAACTGGGAACAAGGATGTGGGGTCTTTTCAGTCTGGAGTTCTCACATGCAACATTCTGGAACAGTTAAAAAGGTCTTACCTGCAAAATCTGTAATCAAAGCCTCACAGAACACACACAGCAATTTCATACAGTGCCTTCAATTACTCTAATCCCTTCTTCAAACTAAACCAGCAGCTTGATCCCTGGTAACTTCATATACACATGCACACACCACCTTCCCAAGCGAGATTAAATGCTTATTTTTATGAGGTAGTCTTGTTCTGAGGATGGTATTCCACCCACAAAAACAATTAACCATCATTCTGCTCAACTGCAGCCAAGATTAAATAAAAGCTTTAAAGACAAAGGTACACTTTTCCCTCCCCCTGTAAAATCAGTCACCTTGCGAAAACAGAGCCCCTGAACTCCTCCCACGCAGAATCTGTATGCTATGCAAAACAAAACACACAGGGAAGATGGCCTGGCAGATTTCCTCTCAGCAGACACACAGAATGAAGGAATCCATGCATTTGCAGGGCTGTAAGGTGTGGCTTACCGCTGCAGGTGGCTGAAATCCTCCGTGCTGCTGGGACTGCACTTGGCCAACTGAAGCTGGGTATCCCTGGACTCCGGTGCTCGAGACTGACTGCTCATGCTGGGAACCATAGGACACAGTCTGCTGACTGCTCACAGATTCAGTGTACACAGATGACCCCTGGCCACTGTCAACTGTTCCATCAGCTGGAAAAGTTAAGGATAAAAATCTGCATTTCAAGAACTGTGGTCTGGATTCAAAATTTCAAAGATCCTATAACTGATCAAGTGTTAAACTGATTTTTGTGCCATGTCACGTGGACCTTTATTAGCATTTTACCTCTTGTAATATTTAAGCTGATTTTAAAATCTCTTTTTCCTCCTTATGCCTTTCCTTAAAACCCTGAAAAAATTACTCATTTCAGGAGTTCTTTGGGAAGATATTTATGAATAAACTATATTTCCTACAAAAGGCTAGACTAGAAATAGAAACCTAAATTCCTCATTGTTATGAATGATCTTTCAAGGTTTATGAGTCATTATTTTTATTTCATTTTACACAGACATTTAAAACAGGTGTGTTGTGCTGGCTGGCAGATGTAGTAGCTGGTAGATGTAGGCACAGTAGTAAACTAGGCATAATAGTCAAATTAAAATCTCTGTTATCTAACGAGCAGACAGCAGTTTGCTTTTTAACTTCATCATTCTAATATGGAAGTTGTCATCTTCCATCATAATTCAAATGCTGGCATGGCAGAAGAGGAAAAGACAGCATTATTAATTCATCTTTTCATGTACAGTATGTAAAACAAAATAAGACTTTTCAGAAAGGAAATTATAAGCTGAACTACTTGTAGATTAATCTCATTTCCACTTTAAATGTAAATTAACAAGGATTGAAGTAAATGGTTTTAATAGCCTGCTCTGCACTGGTGCAGGAGCACACAGCCTTCTGCAGAGCCACAATATACTGTCCCTGTAGGAGGGCAGCAAAACCAAGGGCACTTGTTTGTGCTTCAGGTGCTCCAGTTCATCCAGTGTAGTACCCTGGAACAAAGAGAGACTATTTAGTGCCAGGACACTGGGCTGTGGATTGTGCCAAGCCTTGGCCCAGCTAAGCCACAGGAACACGTCTTACGTTGCTGTGCTTTCTAGTGGCCTACTGTTCTTCAGCAGCAGCAATGGCAGACAGCATCACCCTGAGCTACTTACTGCTCTGCCCACCAGAAGGGTAGGATGAGGGGAGGAACTGTGTAAGTGCAAGAGTTCCTAAAGAAACCAGCTGAGGCACTTACAAAGAACAGATATACTGGGTTGCTGGAACTGCAGCTGTTGGTGCTGGTCAGCTTCCGGCTCTTCAGGCTCCACTTGTGTAGAAACCGATGCTGAAGCAGTGGGGACAGGAGTGGTACCAGTGACAGACTGGGGATGCTTTGACCCTGCATGGGAAGCACTTGATGGCTGCTGTTGCTCCAGCTGCTGCTTCTGACTACCTTCTTCCTGAAGTATGTTCTCCTGTTCTTCTTGCACCGACTGGCGCTGCTCTCGCTTGCGCTTAATCAAAGATACCCTGTCCTTGATAGCCTTCGCCATTGTCTTGTGATCCCCTTCACAGACATAGCCAGACTCCACCTGAAGGAGGATACATTCACACAATTCATGCTGCCACAGACAGCCCCTGTCCCAGTGCTAGGACAGAGCTGCCTCTCTCTGGCACTACCTCCTCCTCTACGCGCTTCGGAACCCGTTTGTTTCTACACGGTAACGGCAAGAGCAGAGACCGACACATTTACTGACACAGCACAGCACTACTTGCTCAGCTCTGTCACACCACCAGCACTTACCATTTCCTGTGCTACATCCTCTGGGACATCTCTTTCCAAATCAAATGAAAACTCTATTGCTTCGTTATCTTTGTATTTGCCCTTGAGTTTTTTGATGTCTTCAATTCGCAGCCAGAGTTTAATGGCAATTTTTTCTCCATCATCTTCCTCTGCAAGTTCTACCCGTACTCCAGTCTCTTCTTGGAAGAAAGCATGATTTAAAAGGTCCTTAATAGCATATCTAGATATTGGGAAAGAATATAGAAAGCACATTCAGTTATCAGGATTTCGTAAAATATTAAGGAATAACCTTGCCAGATGCTCCCCCGATTTAATCTCTAAGTTTTACGCTGTTTTGAACCACCTCGTGTTCATTCTGTTGGGTGTAATTAGAAGCTTTGTCCTGAAGGTAATAAAGAGATTTATGAGCATATCATTAACAATAGTAGTTAGCAGCCTAAACTAAATGGCAAGAAATAAGTGATGTGCAACAACAAAATTAATTTCAAATGAGACAAAAATACTGAATTGTTTAAAAGCAAGAAAAAGAACTGAAACTAAAAATACACAGCAACATCATCAGATGTAAAACTTCAAGAGTTAGTAAAAGAGAAGGAATAAACATCCATGAACAAAACTAGTTCTGAATGGAATGGAGGGCAGCTAGAGGGTGGAAAAAAGCTGAAACAGTCTGAAATCAGACATTCAGTAAGCAACAACCACGTAAAAGCAGAAAACAAAACAAATCCCACAAATAAGCCATCAAAGCAGTAAGAGATTTCCTGTAATGGAGTAAGTTAACCACCTGAAGTAGAAATAATCTTGCAGAAAATGTGGATAAAAATGAACAGCAAGAATTTAAAATAGAGTCCTCAGAATGTTCAACCATACCAACAGAATCAAAGGGACAAAAAAATCACAAAGGATTACAGAACTACCAATGAACCAATCCAAATACCTAGAAAGCCAGAAGGATTGTCCTCCACTACACTGCTGACTGGTCAAAGTTTTAACAGAAGCAATAGAATTTCTGAATAAACTGACATGGATGGTTACTATGGCATTTGCACTGTTCCTGACACTGTTAATTCTCTAATACTGTAATACTGGCTTCCCAACTTTCACAGAACAAAGACGACCCCAGGAACTAACTGGGTTTGATATCATCACACACAAAGGACTCAGGCAGCAGTTAATGCCTTTATCTGCAAAGCAAGGACTCACCTTTCGCCTTTGTTTTGCCGAATGCATCCCTCAATGATCTCCTTCACCTCAGGGATTGCTACTTTATCAAAGCTGGCTGGCTTGACACCCTGAAACACACAAGTAACAACTGAGAAACTGCAAGGTCCACTTGATTTAAGTTTTGACTGTGTTGACAAACCACCTGTTTTTGTTCTCTAGATAACTGACCTAAATAACTAGTGCAGATTAAGGCAAAGTCTGACCTCAGTACTTCACTTGTTTGTTAGTGACCTCTGCAAACGTTCCACACACACCCCCTTCCCATTTCCCAGCCACATTTCTGTAACAGAAGGCATTGGCACTTGGGTGTTATGAGGGGAGAACTGTTTAGTTTCCATGGAAGTTGTGCTGGTTAGAGGGAAGTATACAGACTGGACTGAGAATGGAAGGAAATGGCTCCTGTGTAACACTAATGCAGGAAACCACAGGATTAATTTAACAGTCTTCAAAAGCATTCTGCTGCTTCCCAGAACGTTTCCAACTTGCCATTATATGAATCCAGGAAAAACCTTAGTCCAGGTTGATCTGACTTGATCATTAAATAACTTGTCCAACGTTAGAAAAACCAAACACGTTCCAGTATTTTAGTTCTCCCCAAAGGCCTGCTATACCCAAACCACACTCCTGCATCACTGCTGCTGGGAGTTCAGGGAAAAGAGCTGAGCAATACAGGCCTGTACAAAACCCCTTCCACAATACACAGCAACCCTTTTCCAATACACACTAACACCACAGGGGGAGAGCAAAACAAAATCTAAACATCAACCACCCAAAGCAGTAAAACAAACATGCCATGAGATGTTACCATCTGAGAAGTCTGAAAAACATTTCAGGCAGAGAGCCAAGCTTCATCACTTAATCATGGCCAAGAGTGGTATTTTGGGGTCAACTGTCCACAACAACAAAATCTGGCACCCAATTTTACTTGATTCAGCCTTTCATTTCAAACTCTGTATTTGAGACAGCAGAATGAGAGAGGATAAAGACATGCTGTTCAAATGTTTGAGCAGAGCTGAACAATCCTGAAATTACACACCTGATAAATCTGTCCATGGGTCACTGCTGAATGACAACTAAACACAAAGTGAAAACCACCGCTCCGAAGTACAGAACCCAGTGAAGTAGCAGTGCAAGCACTGTGATTTGTGCCCTAAACAGAATGTACTTCTCCAAATATCCTACAAAATACTACTGACATCAAGGCATGATCCTTCCCCATTCCTCTGTTGTGAGCAGGAAACAAGCCTTGAAACAGAAAAGTTTTTGTTTAAACCCCAGCCTTTGTAACTACTGACCCTGTACTCAGAGTTCTTAAAAGGAAAAAAAAGCGAAAACAAAACCCCCCCACACAGAAAGGAAACAATTTATTTGATAAAAAACAGTATGCTCTTATCTACAGGTTATCTATTTCTTTGGTCTAAAATTTGCCCTTGTGAAACTCTAGCAACTGAAATTTAGAGAGCTGCAGACTATCCTATGACTAGAACAAGCACTGAAACACAGGCTGCCAGTGAACATTAGCTGAATGCTTTTAGAAGCTTTGCTGACTATTAGGCCTTGAGAAAATCAATGCCCCAGGTGATAAAACATCAGACCCGAGTTTGGATGGGTAAGTGTCAAACTGTAACCAGGCTTCCAAGCAGGACACAGAGCTCTCCACTCTCTAAAGGGATTTATAGAACTCTGCTCATATAGCTGACTTGTCAAAGGTGCCTACCTTTCATTATGACCACACTTCAAACAGTCCCACGAGTTCAGGTTTATATATGCAGTATAGATATTTCTATATATAATTCAATGTTCTCCTGTATAACATATATAACCTATGCAATAATTATTCAACTCCTTGTTGCATGCATTCCTATCTAAATTTGCCCAAATTTAACACATGTAAGTCTCCTTAACAGCTGAAGCCTCAGACATAGCAGCCTGCGCTGACATTCATTTACAGCGTGGCAGCAGAAGGATGATGTCAGATCTGTGACAATCTCATTTCAGAAAACTGAAAGTTAACATGAGGAAGACAACTGGTACAGAAAAATATCAGCCTAACGAAGCCAGGATATGACTTTTCCTGTTAATCATTGTACCACATGCTCTGTTCTTGCACGAAGCCTGAAAAGTTAAAACTAAGGATAGATTTTAAAATCAGTAATTCAGTCTGCTACCCTGAGTTTCTCACTGCTGAAAGAAATTAAACACTTGTCCAAAAATCTTCAGGCTCTGGACAAGCACTCCCCACAAACTGAAGTTCATCAGCTTTTCAAACCCCTTTGTTCCCTCCCGCAAGCACTAATGGAAGTGTCAAACTATTTTATACAACCAGACTGGGGTACTATAAATGATTAAAAATCGATAAATCAGTGAACTCTTTTCTCCCAGAGCTGCCTACACACCTCCATCTGCCATCACACAGAAACCCAAGGGAGGGCAGGCCCTGAAATTCACCTTGATGTGTTCTCAAGAGTGCATGAGCTGGGCAGCCAAGCACACCTTCCGCACTTTCTGAACCCAAAGGCTCTCAAGGAAATGTTAAGCCGGCCAGCGTTTCCTGGTTTTACCACACTCAAATTGGTCACATTCCTGTGTGCCTCTCCTGGTCCCCCAACTCCTTAGGAGAGCCACAGGACAACCCAAATGCTAATCCACTAGTCCTGTTTCCCAGTGGCAGCTCATTAAGAACTGAACAGCCAAATCCCACTGGCATCATTCCAGCTTGCTGAAGGAACAGCAGGAAGAGCTCTCGCAAAGGAAAGCGGAGCCAGGTGTGACAGGCACACATGAAAATCAACTTTTTCTCAAGCTACTGTTCTAAAACTGCACAAACTGGCAGTGCTGCTGAAAGCAACAGCCTCCTTTTCTCAATTTCCCATTCCCACAGCCGTGTAATTTCCTCTTTTGCCAGCAAACACATTTATACAGTTGCATAATGAACCAAATCACAGCGTGGATCAGACTTGAAACAAATCCAACCAAAAAAGGCTGCAGCAGCTTCCAGTGAGCTGAAGTTCCCCACACTGCTGCACGAGCTCTCAGGCTCACAGAGGGACAGTCAGAACTGCTCATTTTGAAAGAAGCAGCAACTTCAAACCCACTGAACACTCAGATTTTGAGAATACCTCTAAAACATGGATATTTATGTAGGTAGCCACAGATACAAACTGAAAACTCACAGTTTGCATGTTAAGCATAAGAAAGATTTCATATTTCACTTATCTTACAAGTGATGAAGTTTGTGATTTTATTACATTTTAACCAGGTGAAGAAACACGTTCCAAAATTCAACATATACAGTTATTTGATCAACTAAAGGCAGGTATTCTTAAAAACACTAAATTTCCAGGAAACTTTTAAATCCCAAAGTATAAGCTATCCAGAACTCTTCTTCACAACTTTTGCCTAGAAACACGTAGTATTTTGCATTAGTTAGATCACCAGATTACTGTAGTTTATTACCTTGTTCTAATGCAAGAGATACTGAAAATATAATTTACTTCATTAGAGAAGGTACAATCAATGCTGTATTACTTCTACAACAAACCAAAATGAATGCAGGTGAAGTATTACCCACCCTCAGACATTCGAAATTTAAGAAAAATACTTAGATTTGGAACAAAACCATAGGTGGAAAATAACAGAATCAATTAATGTTCTAGCCTTGATGGTCAGGATTTAAATTTACATTTAAAAAAACTACAGGGGAAAAAGTAAAGTATAAAAGCTAAAGAACCAAGCTATGCAAATGCAAAGCACTTCAAAAGATTTGTAGAGAACTCTAATTCACCTCCAAAATACTTTCCTGTGGCTGCAAGCACTTGAGAGAGCTGAAATTTTTACTTACCTCTTTAGCACAATCCTTGTGAGAGCAGCAACAGTGGGAATTAACAATTACAAATATGGGACAGAGCTCTCTTTTTGTGAAATCCATGGGGAAAAGAGAGGCACGCACAGCACAGAGTTAGCAAGGTGCTATTTTCCAACGGGACTCTGCTGGGCCGTGGATTTAACGCACAGCAGAAGGAAAGCAGACATCGAGGTTACAAGGGAGCATTGTTTGACACCTCTTGTTATTTTCCAAGTCCAGTACATGAGGCTGCAGAGATGTGAGCTCAGTATCCGCTTTTGTCACTCTGCCAGTGAACAGAAAGCAGCAGCAGCAGAAGCCAGAGGTGCCCCTCGCTGCCTGCCCAGCCAGCTGCAAGAGGAGGAAGAGGTGACCCAGAGGGATCCTTTACTGCAGGCTGTCCCCGCCCTCACACCGGGCTGCTCTGCCTCTCTCCACCCAGGTGTTGTGCCTCTCTCCACCCAGGTGTTGTGCCTCTCTCCACCCAGGTGTTGTGCCTCTCTCCACCCAGGTGTTGTGCCTCTCTCCACCCAGGTGTTGTGCCTCTCTCCACCCAGGTGTTGTGCAGGAGCTGAAGGCTGTGTGCCCCTGCTGCAGCCGGCTCCTGCTGCTGCACAAGCTCCTCTCTGACCAGGACAAGTGACAGGCAGTGAGCTGTGCAGGGGATGAAGGCAGCTGCTGTTTCTGCAGTCACACACTGCCATTCCATCTAACCAACCACAAGGCAGCACTAAGACAGCAGAATGCATTTTGCTACCAGTGGCAACACCATCCCGTTCCCTTTTCCCTTAATGTAAGGGCACAGAGATTTGAAGGTGATTTTTCAACTGCTGGACAATGTCAGAAAGCTGCCCTGGTGCTTGGCTGACACATGTGCACACAAACAGAGCTCTGTTTTCTAGTTCCTCTCACTAGACTTCAGACTTCAACCTGAAGTTGGACTTCTTTTTCTTTTGATATCTAGTTCCAAGCAACCATTGTAAAATCTGTTTATTAATCAAATGAGCTGGCCACAGCTTCAGGGTTTGGGATTTTGTACTGTAAAGAAATAAGGAGCAAAGCTAAGGAAGATCATACACCCCGCTTTAAAGATGAAGTTAGCAAACTAATTTTGACAAACTAGTGGTGATGAACTGTGATAAAATTCAATTTAGAATTATCAAGATCACTTTTCACCCCAAAATAACATACTCGGTCCCTCAAGCATGCCACAATCATACCAGT